GCAGCAAACAGTCCTCTCCTGCCTGGGAAACATGTCAGCCATTCTGGACCTGGACCAGATCGCATGCTCTGGGAATGCAGTGGTGAGTGCGTCTGACTGACACACCTCGCTGGGTTTAGTTTGACAGGGCTGGGTCTGGGTAGAGAGACCATGGCTCTCTGGGAGAGGCTGGGCTGGTCTCCCTGGCTGGTTGGCAGCATACCTGCCTGCCTAACTGCCTCTTCAGACAGACGGCTAAGCAGCTGAGCCGTTTCAGTATGCAGAGAGGCGTTTGTGTGGGTGGACACTGGATTTGTGTGTTTGAGTGCACTTACTGTCGAGACTGTGCGTAATTTGTGTGTGGGGGAGTGCATGTTTGTGTGTGAGTGTGAGTGAGTGTGTGTGAGAGTATGTGTATTTGTGCATGTGTGTTGTCAACATAGATGGCATGAATATGTTATTGTGCATTGTAGGTGCATGTCAATGTGATGGCATGAAATATGAATGTGCATAAGTGTTTAGGAGTCTGAGCATACGGGAGAATATGGGTCTGTGTCTGTCTGTGTGTGTGTGCTCGTCTCTGCACATACTGCATTTTTGTGTCTGCGTTTGCCAGATCGTGAAAAGAAAATAGCTATTTTCTCTGTACAGATCAGTGGGGACAGAGACCAGCTAGACAGGCCTTGTGATCCCTGTGTATGTATCCGTATGAACTGCAACAGTCTGACAGTGAAAAGGAACTGATCTTTCACCACATAGCAACAACAGATGTACAGTCTAAAAGATATCCCACAAGCGCCTTTACAGGCTAAATGCTGTTTTCAACCCCATGACATAGACAGGCTCTCTCTGGTCTTGAATGTACTCTCTCTGGCCAAAATAAAGGAAACACCAACATAAAGTGTCTTAATAGGGCGTTGGGCCACCACGATCCACCGGAACAGCTTCAATGCGCCTTGACATAGATTCTACAAGTGTCTGGGACTCTATTGGAGGGATGTGACACCATTCTTCCATGAGAAATGCCATCATTTGGTGTTTTGTTGATGGTGGTGGAAAACGCTGTCTCAGGGGCCTAGAATCTCCTAAGTGTTCAATTTTAGACACACAGACCCCCCTTGGCAGGGGGAAAAAAGGATTTTGGGGAAAAAAAAAGGGGGGGAAAAAAAGGGGGGGGGAAAAAAAGGGGGGGGGAAAAAGGAAAAGGGGAAAAGGAAAAAAAAAAAGGGGTTTTTTAAAAGGAAAAAAAAAAAAGGGGAAAAAAAAGGGGGGGGGGGGGGGAAAGGCGGGGGGGGGGGGCCCCCCGGGGGTTTTTTTTTAAAAAAAAGGGGGGGAAAAAAAGGGAAAAAGGCCCCCCCGGGGGCCCCCCCCGGGGGGGGGGGGAAAAAAAGGGCCCAAAAAAAAAAAGGGGGGAAAAAAGGGCCCCCCCCCCCCCGGGGGGGCCCCCCCCCCAAGGCCCGGCCCCCGGGGGGGCCCCCCCCCCCCCCCCGGGGGCCCCGGGGCCCGGGGAAAACCCAAAAAAAAAAAAAAAAAAAAAGGGGGCCCCGGGGGGCCCCCCAAAAAAAAAGGAAAAAGGGGGGGGGGGAAAAAAAGGGGGGAAAAAAAACCCCCGGGGAAAAAAAAAAAGAAAAAAGGGGGGGAAAAAAAAAAGAAATTAACGGGGGGAAAAAAAAAAAAAAAAAAAAAGGGGGGGGGGGGGGGGGAAAAGGGAAATTTTTTTTTTGGGGGGGGGGGGGGGGGGGGGAAAAGGGGGGGGGGCCCCCCCCCCCCCCCCCCCTTTTGGGGGGGGAAAAAAAAACCCCCCCCCGGCGCCCGGGGGGGGGGTTTTCCCCCGGGGGGGCCCCCCCGGGCCCCCCCCCCCCCCCCCCCCCCCCCCCCCCCCCCCCCCCCCCCCCCGGGGGTTTTTTCCCCCCCCCCTTTTTTAAAAAAAACCCCCCCCCCCCCCCCCAAAAAAAAAAAAAAAAACCCCCCCCCTTTTTTTAAAAAAAAAAAAAAAAAAAAAAAAACCCCCCCCCCCCCCCCCAAAAAACCCCTGGGGGGGGTTTTTTTTTCCCCCCCCCCCCCCCCCCAAAAAAAAATTTCCCCCCCCAAAAAAAACCCCCCCCCCAAAAAAAAAAAAAACCCCCCCCCCCCCTTTTTTCCCCCCCAAAAAAAAAAGGGGGCCCCAAAAAAAACCCCCCCCAAAACCCCCCCCCCCCCCCCCCCCCCCCCCCCCTTTCCCCCCCCCCCCCCCCCCCCCCCCCCCCCCCCCCCCCCCCCCCCCCCCTTTAAAACCCCGGGCCCCCCCCCCCCCCCCCGGGGAAAAAAAAAAAAAAAGGGGGGGGAAAAAAAAAAAAAAAAAAAAATTTTTTTTTTTTTTTTTTTTCCCCCCCCCCCCCCCCCCCCCCAAAAAAAAAAAAAAAAAAAAAAAAAAACCCCCCCCCCCCCCCCCCCCCCCCCCCCCTTTTCCCCCCCCCCCCCAAAAATTTCCCCCCCCCCCCCCCCTTTTTTTTTTCCCCCCCCCCCCCCCCCCCCCCCCCCCCCCCCCCCCCCCTTTTCCCTCCTCCCCCCCCTCTCCCCCCTTTCTTTTTTTTTTCCCCCCCCCCCGGGGGGGGGGCCCCCCCCCCTCCTTTTTTTTTTTAAAATCCCCCAAAAAAACCCAAACCCCCCCCCAAACTTTTCCCCCCTTTTTTTTTTCCCCAACCCCAAAATTTTTTTTTTTTAAAAAAAAAGGGGGCACCCCGGGGTTTCCCCCCTTTTCCCCCCCCCCGGGGGGGGCCCCCCCCCCCGGGTTTTCGTCTGGGGCCCCAAATGCAGAGTGTGTGTGTGTGTGCGTGTGTGCGTTTATGCGTGCGTGTGTGTGTGTGCATGTGTGTGTGTGTAAAGGGATAGAGGTGAAGGGAAGAAGCGAAACAGAGTGTGAGCATGTCTTACTCCTAGATAGATCAATACTACCCAAAGACAAGGATCTGATGTACACTACATGACCAAAAGTATGTGGACACCTGCTTGTCAAATATCTCATTCCAAAATCATGGGCATTAATATGGAGTTGGTCCCCCCTTTGCTGCTATAACATCCTCCTCTCTTCTGGAAAGGCTGTCCCATAGATGTTGGAACATTGCTGCTGGGACTTGCTTCCATTCAGCCACAAAGGCATTAATGAGGTCAGGCACTGATGTTGGGCGATTAGGCCTGGCTCGCAGTCGGCGTTCCAATTTATCCCAAAGGTTTTCGATGGGGTTGAGGTCAGGGCTCTGTGCAGGCCAGTCAAGTTCTTCCACACCGATCTTGAAAAACAATTTCTGTATGGACCTCGCTTTGTGTACGGGGGCATTGTCATGCTGAAACAGGAAAGGGCCTTCCCCAAACTGTTGCCACAAAGTTGATAGCACAGAATCGTCTAGAATGTCATTGTATGCTGTAGCATTAAGATTTCCCTTCACTGGAACTAAGGGGCCTAGCCCAAACCATGAAGAACAGCCCCAGACCATTATTCCTCCTCCACCAAACTTTACAGTTGGCACTATGCATTGGGGCAGGTCGCGTTCTCCTGGCATCCGCCAAACCCAAAATTCTTCCGTCGGACTGCCAGGTGGTGAAGCGTGATTCATCACTCCAGAGAACGCGTTTCCACTACTCCAGAGTCCAATGGCGGTGAGCTTTACACCACTCCAACCGACGCTTGGCATTGTGCATGGTGAGCATAGGCTTGTGTGCGGTTGCTCGGCCATGGAAACCCATTTCATGAAGCTCCTGACGAACAGTTCTTATGCTGACGTTGTTTCCAGAGGCAGTTTGGAACTCGGTAGTGAGTGTTGCAACAGAGGACAGACAATGTTTACACGCTACACACTTCAGCACTCGCCAGTCCCATTCTGTGAACTTATGTGGCCTACCACTTTGCAGCTGAGCCATTTTTGCTCCTAGACGTTTCCACTTCACAATAACAGTACTTATAGTTTACCGGGGCAGCTCTAGCAGGGCAGAAATTTGACGAACTGACTTGTTCGAAAGGTGCCAAGTTGAAAGTCCCTGAGCTCTTCAGTAAGGCCATTCTACTGCCAATGTTTGTCTATGGAGATTGCATGGCGGTGTGCTCGATTTTATACACCTGTCAGCAATGGCTGTGGCTGAAATAGCGAAATCCACTAATTTGAAGGGGTGTCCACATACCTTTGTATATATAGTGTAGATGACTGGATCTGAGGTAGGTAACTGGATCTTAGGTAGATGACTGGATCTGGGGTAGATGACTGGATCTGAGGTAGATGACTGGATCTGAGCTAGATGACTGGATCTGAGGTAGATGACTCCTTGTTGCTGTCCTCCTCCCAAACCCTAAACACCCTCCTTCTGCAGCAACACAGAAGGGAGTGTTTCATTTTTAATGACAACAGGTTGCGCTGCCTTCATCCTTCTAAACGTTTCTCTTATTTTTTTATAGTACATTGATATGAACAACAGACAACAGTAAAGGCAGTAACCTGAAAAAGTATTTTTCCATTGATCTCTATGTTGCATGTGTGTCCATGTTTCTGTTCTGCTGTCTGTGTCTCCACTCTGTGGGTGTCTGGCTAATTATCAATGTATGTACTTGTCTCTGTCATTTCAATTAAGTCTTAATCTGACTATAACCTCATATTAGTGCATTTTAAAGCATAGAAAATGGCTGGTATGTCTGATTGAGATCTCAGACAGCGATACTGCTGCCTTGTCCTTGACAGGAAGGTTTAACCTTCACCATCTCCAGAGGAAGTTTGATAGCCACCATTCTCATTTCTAAAATGGTGCCTGCTGCAGTGTTCCCAGCCCTGATTCTGAGCAGAGGAGGCTCCCCCCCCTCTCTCTCTCTCTCTCTCTCTCTCTCTCTCTCTCTCTCTCTCTCTCTCTCTCTCTCTCTCTCTCTCTCTCTCTCTCTCTCTCTCTCTCTCGCTCTCTCTCTTTCTTTATTATTGATGACCAGTGGGCCCTGAGACTAGGCCCAGCACTCCCTCATGCTGTTAAACACACACTCACACTCAGATACGTAGTCCCAAGTCATGCTGACCTTGCGCCGTGGTGTGGTGTGTGACGTCAGCAGATACTGCTGTCACGAGTCTAGAGAGGTACAGAATAGGTCTGTAGAACATTTGGAGGCACGCCAGGGAATGACGCTGTTATTTCCTTGGTGTATTGCATCACTTCAAATCACGTTTCAAGTCACGATATCGATGAAGTTCAGTAAGATGGTTGTTTATTGCTGCCTCATCTTTTTGGGCCTAATTTGCCCCACTCACCCAGACTCATTTACACTGACAACCTAATGCACAGACTATGTTTTCGTTTCAGTCACCTCCATCTCCTCTAACTTTGGCTAATTGTAGGGATTTTCTTTCTATTGATAATGTAAAATTAACAGCCATACAGAAAGACTCATGTGAAGGTGAAATTACAGAGGAGGAACTTCTGAATGCAATTAAATACTTTAAGTCCTGGAAAACTCCAGGGTTGGATGGCATACCAGTTCGAGGTATACCAAACCTTTTTTGATATACTCAGAGGACCGTTATTAGCATGTTTTAACCACTCCTATGTAAATGGTAGATTATCAGACACTCAAGAAGAAGGTCTGATTTCATTATTACTGAAACAGGATACAAGTGGGAAATATAAAGATCCAGTCCATTAAAAAAATTAGAGGCCCCTTACACTTCAGTGTTGTGATGCAAAAATTCTAGCAAAATGTATAGCGCATAGAATTAAAAAGGTATTGTCGGACATTATTCATTCTAATCAGACAGGTTTTTTACATGGACGATACATTGGAGATAATATAAGGCAAGTACTGGAAACAATAGAACACTATGAAAAATCTGGGAATCTGCTATTCATAGAAGACTTTGATAAGGCATTTGATAAAGTACGACTGGAGTTTATATATAAATGCCTGGAGCATTTCAGTTTTGGAGAATCTCTTATAAAATGGGTTAAAATCATGTATAGTAACCCTAGGTGTAAAATAGTAAATAATGTATATTTCTCAATAAGTTTTAAACTGTCAAGAGAAGTAAAACAAGGTTGTCCACTATCTGCATATCTATTTATTATGGCCATCGAAATGTTAGCTATTAAAATCAGATCCAACAATAATATCAAGGGATTAGAAATCCAGGGCTTAAAAACAAAGGTGTCATTGTACGCTGATGATTCATGTTTTCTTTTAAATCGAGAAAAAAATAGAGGATCTAGATACATTTTCTAACGTCTCAGGATTACAACCAAATTATGATAAATGTACTATATTACATATTGGATCACTAAAAAATACAATTTTTACATTACCATGTAGTTTACCAATACAATGGTCTGATGGTGATGTGGATATACTTGGAATACATATCCAAATGAAATAAATACATTTTAATAGAAAGTTAGCAAAAATAGATAAAATCTTGCTACCATGGAAAAGTAAATACCTGTCTATTTGTGAAATATCACCCTGATTAACTCTTTAGTATTATCCCAGTTTACCTATTTGCTTATGGTCTTGCCTACGCCTAGCGAACAGTTTTTTAAATTATATGAGAAAAAAATCTTCCATTTTATTTGGAACAGCAAGCCAGACAAAATTAAACGGGCCTATTTATATAATGAATATGAATTCGGAGGACAGAAATTATTAAATATTAAAGCATTAGACCTATCACTAAAAGCTTCAGTCATACAAAAGTTATACTTAAATCCGAACTGGTTCTCTAGCAAATTAGTAAAATTGTCTCACCCCATGTTCAAGAATGGCCTTTTTCCCTTTATTCAGATTACAACCTCTCACTTTCAGTTATTTGAAAAGGAAATAATCTCCCAAATATCACTATTTCTAAAACAAGCCATAGAAAGTTGGTTGCAATTTCAATTTAATCCTCCAGAAACGACAGAACAAATAATGCAATAAATATTGTGGTTAAACTGAAATATACTAATTGATAAAAAGCCAGTATTTTTTGAAAAAATGTTTTAAAAATGTATAATCTTCGTAAATGATATCATAGGTAGGATTGGTGGAGTTATGTCGCACATGCAGCTAACAAAAACATATGGAAATGTCTGCTCTACCCAAAATTACAACCAAATAATTGCAGCATTACCGCAAAAATGGAAGAGGAAAGTGGAAGGGGGAAAAAGTAAGGAACTTGTCTGTCGGCCCTGCATTAAAGAACATAATTGGTTAAAGAAAATTGTGATAAATAAAAAAGTATACCAGTTTCATTTAAGGACCAAAGGATTGACAGCCGTCCCATACAGATTGCAAAATAGTTGGGAAGAGATTTTTTATGTACCGATTCCATGGCATAGTGCTTATGAACTGATACGCAAAACGACGCCGGATTCAAAACTTAGAATTTTTCTATTGAAATTATTATACAAAATTCTTGCTACCAATATAATGTCATTGATATGGGGGATACAATCTTCCCAGCTCTGCAGATTTTGCTGCGAAGAGACAGAATCATTAGATCATTTGTTTTGGTACTGTCCATTTGTGCAATATTTACCTGGAGCTAACCCTGCAGATAGCACCACTGGGTGATCTGAAAAGATAGTCAATCGATCAATACTATAATAATACTTTTAGCAAAAATGTTTATTTTCAATTTACAATCTGTAGAAACAATGAGAATGGAAGGTTTCTGAACTTTTGTGAAACATCACAGTACAGTTGAAAAATAAATGGCAAATCGAAATCCAATATGGATGGTGTTAAGAGATAGATGAGAGGTGTTGAATGGAGCTGAAGGATGGGACTAATAACAACTAACAACTAATAACAGCAAGATAACTAATGTAGGACATGCTGTGTCCATAATAAGTATATAGGTTATAGGTTGAGAGCTTTTGTGAAGGAGCACAGTTGGAAAGATATGGCATATAGAAGCAAACCGGATGGACGTCATGAAAATGATCGGAGAGGTTGAGGGTAGAGGAAGTTCAGGAGTAAAAACAAACAAAATATAATTATTGTATAATTGACTGTGTCCATAAAATGTATATAGTATGTATAAGCTGGAGGTAGAGGCATAGGCATTGTTGTTCACTAGTTTACTCCAATTAGGGAAGGGGTGGTGGGGTTGGAAAGTAATAAAGGGAAATATATTTTTTTAAAGGATATGTATATATATGTATGTATATGTATTTATATGTATGTGTATGTATATATATGTATATATATATATATATATATATATATTTGCGAGAGAAAAAAACATTGGGGATTGGAAGTGATGCAGACAATTACATTGATGGAAGTTACAATATATCTGCAATATTAAAGCTGATCTACCCCAGAAAAAAAAAATGCACAGACTTGGAATCATAAAAAGCATCCATCATGTTATGGATGGCTGTAGTCTCTGTCTCTGTAGTCTCTTATAAAGAAATATAAGCTATTCCGTGCAGAGAGAGGCATGGAGAGAAATGAAGGCAGTTTCAGTGTCTGAATTTTAATAGCAGCAGGTTACTCCTCCCTGCAGTGGCAGCTTTCAGAGAAGGCGATGATTCTGGATTTTTGCGCAGTCATACCTCGGGAGCAGTGCATTTCTCCAAGGGAACCAGCTGATCCTCTGCCTAGTGCTAACTCTCAGCTCCTCCTTGTCCCTTCTGAGAGGGCTCTGGAAAGGAGACAGGAAGCTCTGTAGTCTGTACACTCAATCATAAGTACTCACACGATTCGATTTTCAATTTGTTTGGCATTTATTGTCTTTCACATCTCTGATTAATTATGTAGTAAGCTATTATTAGAATATGAATCCATAAATATCTGCCCACATCCAACCCACTCCAGAGCCCCCTACACAGACCCAGAGGCTGTTTGTGTAGATGGAAAAATATTTGATATGGAAAAACAATATGTTTAAAATGTCCTAGACCTCAAGGGCCTAGGAGTCCATTTGGAATTGGGTCTGTCTGGCCAGCAGGATGTCTCCCTCCCTACCTCCAAACTGTTTACATCTGTCTACCAACACCCTGACCTGTCTGTTCTCCTCTCTGATTGGCTGCAGGAGCATGATATCGAGACTACCCATGGCGTGCTCCATGTGACCATGAGGGGCGTTCCCAAGGGCAACCGGCCAGTCATCCTCACCTACCATGACATCGGCCTCAACCGTGAGTGTGCACGATTAACCCTTATAGCATTATCTAAGACGCAGTGTGGTTCTAAACATGTAAAATAACTTCTATGAGTATTACTTGTAGGTTTATGCCATGGATCTGTGTTTTATGTATGATATGTACAGGTTTGTGCCATTATTGTGTATCTTATTTCTAGGTTTATTTTCTTCTTTATCTCTTATGGATGTGTTTGCATTGCTATCTTTTTGTTCCCCTCTCTGTGCAGATAAGTCATGCTTCAACACGCTGTTTAACTTTGAGGACATGCAGGAGATCACGCAGCACTTTGCTGTGGTCCATGTGGACGCCCCTGGACAGCAGGAGGCGGCACCACCCTTCCCCACCGGGTACCAGTACCCTACCATGGAAGAACTGTCTGAGATGCTGCCCTCGGTTATGACTCAGCTCAAGTGAGTGACATGGACATTGACCAGTTGACTCATTAGGTGGTGATGGATAGACTGGAATACCAGTAAGTTGGTGTTGCTGATGGTGTGATGTATTTCCTGATGTCCACAGGGTGAACAGTGTGATTGGGATTGGCGTGGGAGCAGGAGCCTACATCCTATCCCGGTTTGCAGTAAGTCTACCTAACACTGACAGCAGCTCTCTCATCTGTCCATTTTCATTTTCTAAATCTCCTGTCTCTCTCAGTCTGGTCTATTACAGAGGTTTTCTGTCAGTCTGAACATCAGTGCTTCACATCCAACCCACGCAGCAGCATTTCACCAGTCCTCTTGTCTATTATAAACCAATTCTGACGGGGGTGAATCACCTTGTTTTTCTCTCGATCTCTCACTGTCCCTCTCGTGTTCTTCCTCTTTGTGCACTCAATGCCTGGTTTATTTTAGCTCTGCTGAATTCTCTCTCTACAAGAGAGGAGAGCATGTAGAGAAGTTTTAGAGCGAGAGAGCACTGAAAGATGGAGATGGAGGAGGAGGAGGGGGGTGTGGGGGTGGAATTAGTCTGGAGGATTTAGGAATCACAGAGTTGGATGTTCCTCTGGGGGTCTGCTCTCATTCTGAATTAATGAGGAAAATTAGGGGTTGGAATGAAATGGAAACAAGTTAGATTGGTAACAGCTGTTTCTGCATTTGATTTAAACGTAGTTTCAGGTAACCAGCATCTCAGTAGCCTCTGTTGATACATCTGGCCTTTCTTGAAAATGACAAAAGCTTGTAGCATTCTGAATGCAGTTTTAATGCCAATCACCACATCTCCCGAAGATGTTCATCATCATCTTCATTCCTTTCTTACTATACAATTTATGAAGACTGGTATGCTCCTATACTACTTCACCTCATGTTGGGGACTGACATGTTGTTCCTCTCGCTTGCAGCTGAACAACCCTACTCTGGTAGAGGGCCTGGTTCTGATCAACGTGGATCCGTGTGCAGAGGGATGGATCGACTGGGCTGCCTCCAAGGTCAGTCAGTAGTCCTCTAACCAATTACCCATCTTTGAATGCAAAGCCATAGATCCTTGTGATATCCTAGAAGACTGTCCCTTTAGCTCTGCGTTATTTCTAGACCTTGTCCTGTTTTGTATCAACAGCTCTCTGGGTGGACCAGTAACATTGTGGACACAGTGATGGCTCACCACTTCAGCACTGTGAGTATGATGGGTTGGCATTTGCCCACCTTTGACTAGGAGTTCCATTCACCTTTGATAACCTGGTTTGAAAGTGAACATTTGCATCGTTTTATAAGATGATATCATGATACCATCCACACACATTCTGATGCCTTGTGTGTTCCCGCAGGATGAGCTGACAGACAACCAGGAGCTGGTCCAGACCTACCGCCTTCACATCGCCCAGGACATCAACCAGGACAACCTGGCCCTCTTCTGTGCCTCCTACAACGGGTACGCTGGGCAGGAGTGGAGAGGGGGCAGGGATTCACTCCTGCCCACCATAGTCGTTGGCTTTACTACTGGTTGGATGAATGTGGCTTTAAACTTGTATTTTTTCTATTTTTTCAATAACAGTCGTCGGGATCTGGAAATCGAGAGGCCAGTCTTCGGTCTTAATGAGGACACAGTGAACACACTGACGTGAGTTTGAACTGGTTTTACTGTGTTTTCGGCAGTATGCAGAGGCGTCATGCCCATAGGGGGCACGTGCCCCCTCAGATTTGTCCTGTTTAAAATAATTATAATAATTATAATAATACAATAAATAAATACATCTCTGTAATACTACTAGCCACCTAGCAGCCTCAGATTTTTGGGGTGCATGGCACCACTGGCAGTATGCATTTGTATGCTCAAGTAGAACCTCCTCTCTTCCCCTCCAGGTGCCCTTCTCTGTTGGTGGTTGGAGACACATCTCCTGCAGTGGAGGCAGTGGTGAGTTAGGGTGGTTGTTGTTTAGCTTGTGATTATAGATCATGCACTTCTACATGCTTGTATATATAGTAGGAGGATGGAACTAAATGTTGAATATCAGTTCCTTTATGTAATGAAGTTTTGTTCACTTACTCTCTTTAAACTTGTTTCAGGTGGAGTGCAATTCCAGGTTAAATCCAACCAAGACTACACTGTTTAAGGTGAGGTGAAGCATGTCATATCCTGTATGTGTTATGCATTTTCCTCCAGAATAATCAATATTTTATGCTAAGCTATTGCATCACGTGTAGCGACTCAGAAGTTCTCTCTCTTTCTCCCCCCTCTCTCTGTAGATGGCTGATTGTGGAGGCTTGCCTCAGGTTGTTCAGGTGAGGTTTGATGATCTGAAAGTTGTTATTATATGCTTATATCGTTTTTTAAATCATTGTCATACAAATCTAGATTTTTTATAACTAACTAACTCTCCTCCACAGCCTGGGAAACTGGCAGAGGCCTTCAAGTACTTTGTTCAGGGTATGGGTTACAGTAAGTACACAACTCTCTTACTTTTCTTTGTAAATGTGTGATCTCAATAACCACTCCTTTCTAGCATACAAACAATTATATAATAATAATAATAATAATAATAATATATATATATATATATATATATATATATATATATATATATATATATATATATATATATATATATACACACTACCGTTCAAAAGTTTGGAGTCACTTAGAAATGTCCTTGTTTTCGAAAGAAAAGCATTTTTTTTTTGTCCATTAAAATATCAAATTGATCAGAAATACAGTGTAGACATTGTTAATGTTGTAAATGGCTATTGTAGCTGGAAACGGCTGATTTTTTATGGAATATCTACATAGGCGTACAGAGGCCCATTATCAGCAACCATCAGTCCTGTGTTCCAATGGCACATTGTGTTTGCTAATCCAAGTTTATCATTTTAAAAGGCTAATTGATCATTAGAAAACCCTTTTGCAATTATGTTAGCACAGCTGAAAACTGTTGTGCTGATTAAAGAAGCAATAAAACTGGCCTCCTTGAGACTAGTTGAGTATCTGGTGCATCAGCAATTGTGGGTTCGATTACAGAATCAAAATGGCCAGAAACAAATAACTTTCTTCTGAAACTCGTCAGTCTATTCTTGTTCTGAGAAATGAAGGCTATTCCATGCGAGAAATTGCCAAGAAACTGATGATCTCGTACAACGCTGTGTACTACTCCCTTCACAGAACAGCGCAAACTGGCTCTAACCAGAATAGAAAGAGGAGTGAGAAGCCCCGGTGCACAACTGAGCAAGAGGACAAATACATGAGTGTCTAGTTTGAGAAACAGACGCCTCACAGGTCCTCAACTGGCAGCTTCATTAAATAGTACCCGCAAAACACCAGTCTCAACGTCAACAGTGAAGAGGCGACTCCGGGATGCTGACCTTCTAGGCAGAGTTGCAAAGAAAAAGCCATATCTCAGACTGGCCAATTAAAATAAAAGATTAAAGATGGGCAAAAGAACACAGACACTGGACAGAGGAAGATTGGGAAAAAGTGTTATGGACAGACGAATCGAAGTTTGAGGTGTTCGGATCACAAAGAAGAACATTTGTGAGACGCAGACCAAATGAAAAGATGCTGGAGGAGCGCTTGATGCCATCTGTCAAGCATGGTGGAGGCAATGTGATGGTCTGGGGGTGCTTTGGTGGTGGGAAAGTGGGAGATTTGTACAGGGTAAAAGGGATCTTGAAGAAGGAAGGCTATCACTCCATTTTGCAACGTCATGCCATACCCTGTGGACGGCGCTTGATTGGAGCTAATTTCCTCCTACAACAGGAAGAAGCAGTCAGCTGGTATTCTGTCTATAATGGAGTGGCCAGCACAGTCACCGGATCTCAACCCTATTGAGCTGTTGTGGGAGCAGCTTGACCGTATGGTACGTAAGAAGTGCCCATCAAGCCAATCCAACTTGTGGGAGGTGCTTCAGGAAGCATGGGGTGAAATCTCTTCAGATTACCTCAACAAATTGACAACTAGAATGCCAGAGGTCTGCAAGGCTGTAATTGCTGCAAATTGAGGATTATTTGACGAAAGCAAAGTTTGAAGGACACAATTATTATTTCTATTAAAAATCTTGTCAATTATTATTTATATTAAAAACCTTGTCAATGACTACATTTCCTATGCATTTTCCTATGCATTTTGCTATATTTCCTATTCAAACTCATTTCATGTATGTTTTCATGGAAAACAAGGATATTTCTAAGTGACCCCAAACTTTTGAACGGTAGTGTATATATACAGCTCTGGAAAAAATTAAGAGACCACTGCAAAATTATCAGTTTCTCTGGTTTTACTATTTATAGGTATGTGTTTGGGTGAAATTAACATTTTTGTTTTATTCTATACACTACTGACAACATTTCTCCCAAATTCCAAATAAAAATATTGTCATTTAGAGCATTTATTTGCAGAAAATGACAACTGGTCAAAATAACAAAAAAGATGCAGTGTTGTCAGACCTCGAATAATGCAAAGAAAATAAGTTCATGTTCATTTTTAAACAACACAATACTATTGTTTTAACTTAGGAAGAGTTCAGAAATCAATATTTGGTGGAATAACCCTGATTTTCAATCACAGCTTTCATGCGTCTTGGCATGCTCTCCACCAGTCTTTCACATTGATGTTGGGTGACTTTATGCCACTCCTGGCGCAAAAATTCAAGCAGCTCGGCTTTGTTTGATGGCTTGTGACCATCCATCTTCCTCTTGATCACATTCCAGAAGTTTTCAATGGGGTTCAGGTCTTTGGAGATTGGGCTGGCCATGACAGGGTCTTGATCTGGTTGTCCTCCATCCACACCTTGATTGACCTGGCTGTGCGGTATGGCGCATTGTCCTGCTGGAAAAACCAATCCTCAGAGTTGGGGAACAATGTCAGTGCAAAAGGAAGCAGGTTTTCTTCCAGGACAACCTTGTACGTGGCTTGATTCATGCGTCCTTCACAAAGACAAATCTGCCCGATTCCAGCCTTGCTGAAGAACCCCCAGATTATCACCGATCCTCCACCAAATGTCACAGTGGGTGCGAGACACTGTGGCTTGTAGGCCTCTCCAGGTCTCCGTCTAACCATTAGACGACCAGGTGTTGGGCAAAGCTGAAAATTGGACTCATCAGAGAAGATGACCTTACTCCAGTCCTCTACGGTCCAATCCTTATGGTCTTTTGCAAACCTCAGCCTGGCTCTTCTTTGCTTCTCATTGATGAAGGGCTTTTTTCTAGCTTTTCATGACTTCAGCCCTGCCCCTAGGAGCCTGTTTCGAACCGTCCTCGCAGTGCACTTCACCCCAGCTGCCGTTTGCCATTCTTTTTGTAGGTCACTTGATGGCATCCTATGGTTGTTGAGTGACATTCGAATGAGTTGGCGGTCATCCTGGTCAGTAAAGAGTCGTTTTCGCCCTCTGCCGGTCTGTAGCTTTGTTGTCCCCAATGTCTGCTGCTTGAACTTGTTCTTATGAACCGCCGCTATTGAAATTCTAAGGATGGAAGCAACCTGACACTCACTGTATCCCTCTGCCAGTAAAGCCAGAATTGAACCCTTCTTTTCCTCACTCAAAACTTTCCTTTTCAACTCTTTTGGCATGGTCAATTGTTATTTTTTGATTAATATGACTTTTGAGGTACTATTAGCACTATTTTTGCCATCCAACTGGTCCTATTGCAGGAGGATAGTGATGACCACAGCAGTGGTTTTTATACTTTTCCTTGTTAAATAAGATTTGGTTTAGGTGATCACCTAATCAGTACCTAATTCAGTAGAATGTGTTGGAATTCAACAGACTGTCACGTACGTTAAGGAACGGGACGGACCAAGGTGCAGCGTGAACGGCGAACATGTTTATTTACTAATAAACACACGAAACAGTAACCAAAACAACAAACTTAACCGTGACGGTCCAAAGGCTAACACACAAGCCTGGCAACGTGCACCCCTGGCTAACACACTGGCAACGTGCACCCCTGGCTTGGTGCGAGGAGCAGGAACAGGCCGGGCCGGACTGGCGACGCGTACCACTGGCTTGGTGCGAGGAGCAGGGACAGACCGGGCCGGACTGGCGACGCGCACCACTGGCTTGGTGCGAGGAGCAGGAACAAGCCGGGCCGGACTGGCGACGCGCACCACTGGCTTGGTGCGAGGAGCAGGGACAGGCCGGGCCGGACTGGCGACGCGCACCACCGGCTTGGTGCGAGGAGCAGGAACAGGCCGGGCCGGACTGGCGACGCGCACCACCGGCTTGGTGCGAGGAGCAGGAACAGGCCGGGCCGGACTGGGAACACGCACCACTGGCTTGGTGCGGGGAGCAGGTACGTGGCGTACCGGACTGGGAACACACACCACTGGCTTGGTGCGGGGAGCAGGAACAGGCCGGGCCGGACTGGGAACACGCACCACTGGCTTGGTGCGAGGAGCAGGGACAGGCCGGGCCGGACTGGCGACGCGCACCACCGGCTTGGTGCGAGGAGCAGGAACAGGCCGGGCCGGACTGGCGACGCACACCACCGGCTTGGTGCGAGGAGCAGGAACAGGCCGGGCCGGACTGGGAACACGCACCACTGGCTTGGTGCGGGGAGCAGGTACGTGGCGTACCGGACTGGGAACACGCACCACTGGCTTGGTGCGGGGAGCAGGAACAGGCCGGGCCGGACTGGGAACACGCACCACTGGCTTGGTGCGGGGAGCAGGTACGGGGCGTACCGGACTGGGAACACGCACCACTGGCTTGGTGCGGGGAGCAGGAACAGGCCGGGCCGGACTGGGAACACGCACCACTGGCTTGGTGCGGGGAGCAGGTACGGGGCGTACCGGACTGGGAACCGGCGCTGGAGGTCTATGACTGTCTCCGTCCTTTACACTCCGCGCCCCGTCCTCCTCCAGTGAGGACTCCTCCTTGAGCCCCCACGAGTGCAGTGGTCGGGGCTCCTCTCTGTCGCTCCCCACCACCCTTTTAGCCCCCCCAAAAAAATGTATTGGGGCTGTCTCTCCACCCTGATCCCTTTCAGGGCCTCCATCTTTCTTGACAGATCCTCTCTTATCTCCTGCCAAGTCCATCCTCTCTGCTCCTCCTCGGCACACTGCTTGGTCCAGGTCTGGTGGGATTTTCTGTTACGTACGTTAAGGAACGGGACGGACCAAGGTGCAGCGTGAACGGCGAACATGTTTATTTACTAATAAACACACGAAACAGTAACCAAAACAAGGCTGACACACAAGCCGAAACATGAACATAACAAAATCCCACAACGCAGGCAGGAAAACTGGCTGCCTAAGTATGATCCCCAATCAGAGACAACGAGCGACAGCTGCCTCTGATTGGGAATCACACCCGGCCAAACATAGAAATACAAAACCTAGAATATATTCACACCCTGACCAAACTAGCTAGAGTTCTATAGGACAGGGCGTGACACAGACACTGGAATGGAATGGCTGTCATACATGTAGAGATGCTGATTTAAGAAAAATGTGCAGTGGTCTCTTAATTTTTTCCAAAGCTGTATATATATAGTGACTCTGGCCACCTGTGGCTAGTAACTGGTTGCTACCTTGGAATTTTACTCAGAGTATTGATTATCCACTAACAAGCTGTTGTACGTGTTTGTGGTTAAGATCTGTGTTCTCGATGTATTTCCTGTTGACGTGAGCAAAATAACAACTGTTGCTCAATTAAGTATTGTTTTCATCACGGTTTCCCATGAGCCTTTGCCAGACACCCTCCTGGGTTTGGAGTGCAGCCAATAGTTTCTGAAAAGACCCTCAGTTTGTCACACTGGTCACGGAGAGGAGGCCGCCCCTCACGCCTCACAGCAAATGCCAATTCCTATTTAATCTTTGCAGTGTTGCATAGCCTCAGTTGTCAGTAGCTGAGAAATTGTGATTGTAGCATGAATGACTAGCACTGAAGACGTGCTGAACAGCAATTGACTTCCTGTTCAATTCTGCGTGGGAGAGACTCTCTCAACTTGCCTTGTGTACTTTTCTTTTCTACCCAAACTGTTTAAGATGCATCTCCTCCTGACACAAAGAAAAGCGCAGACTTAAACAGGCTTCTAGGTTTTCACCTCTCATTCACCAGCACAGTATTTCTATGGTACTAGGCTCTTCTGTTTCAACCCCAAGCCTGTGCTGCCTGCAGCCCCAGGTGTCACTGTGTGAGAGGAGAACTGTAGAGAAAAGTTAATGGCCAGGCAGCACAGTCACTCCCTGCAGAGGAAATGTCACCGCCAGATTAGAGTTGATTAAAGCCTCTTCTCATGCAGAGAAGGGTTGTGAATAGAAATAACAACTGAGCATGACGTCAAACACCTGGACACAGTTTCTCACAGTTGTGTAGCACAATAGATATCAAGAAGACATTTTTACATAACAGTATGAGTGAGACAGGATGCTGTTTATCTTTCATCATCATCTTAGTATTAGTATTGGCCAAAATTCTGCTTTGTCCCTTTGGGCTATCTCTGTCTCTCTCCGACCTACCCCAGATAAAATCAGACACAGGAAGAACACATCTATTTATTTTCCTTTGTCGCTGTAGTATACAGCAGTTGTCTTTCCCTTAAAAATGATTTATATTCATTACCTGCACCTTCATGGACCTTATTCCCTTTCAATATGTTCTCATTTCTTCTTCTTTCAATCCTTTCCTCCCTCCATCAATGCTAACAGTTCCCTACGTTCTTCTCAGTCACCTGAGCAACGAATCAGGTACCAGGTTTTAAAGCAGTAGCAGTTTTAGACCAGTTGGCCTCATACCAGCCTCCATTCAGCCTAACACACATTAGATGAATGTCAAGGTATGCTCAGAAAGTCATGACATATTAGTATTTTCAGTCATCTGTATTGTTCAATTAACTGAAGAACTGTCTGCATACTTTGACATTTTGTTAGGTGGTTATGTTGCTCCTGTAAGCATCGATCTGCTTCTGACTGCCCTAAGTTTGATTTGTTTTTCCTATTGTTGCACAAGGTGCTAGTTTTGCTTAATTTTGCCTTCATTTATATATTTTTTCAGTGCTTTATGCTATTATTGTATTGCCTTTTTTGCAAGACATGCTTGTCAGCGTCTTTGGCTTGCATACTGTATTTATGTGTGTGGTGCTGAAGCTTTTTCTTTATTTTATTGGTGCCTTTATTTCCTCAGATTTGTCTGCATGGTGAATATCTGCAGTATTTGTATGATTTATTAATGTAATTCCCTAACAGAAGGGACACGTAATTATGCTTCCTGCATTGCATGAAGTGCTCTGCATTGTGACTGGAATGTTAACACTCCTGTGTTGTGTCGTAGTGCCCACGGCTGGAATGACTCGTCTGGCCCGATCCCGCACCACCTCCTCTACCAGCATCACCTCCATGGACAGCAGCCGCAGCCGCAACCTCAACAGCCTGCTGGAGGGAGCCAACACCACCGGGGGCCTGGACAACCAGCCTGGGCCCCAGACCATGGAGGTCTCCTGCTAAACCTCCCCATCGCTCCCTCACTCCACACCGGGTAGCAGCCCTCAGCGGTGCCCCTATCCTCCTCCAGTAACTTATGTCTCCCAGTTTCTCTCCTACCCTGCTTCTAAGCTACTCAATGCCAGGGGGTTCTGTGATGAATTGTGTGATTAATATGAGAATATATATACAAATGCATATGAAATATTATACTGTATACACGTCAAACTTCCAGTCACAAGCTGAGGGGACAAAATAAAGAATGAGTCAGATATACAGATATACCAGATATACAGATATACTGTATACTCAAAGGGTTGAGATGGTACGATCCCCCACCCAACTGTTTCCCATCATTTTATATGTGTGCATGTCTCTTGTGCAAGTGAATCTGGAGACTTATTCTTCTAGATTCAATCACTGTATGTCCCTCCACTTATTTTGTTTCTGATTATTACCCTTCACGTCTTTATTTATTTGGTTCACCATGTGTCTGTGTGTAGAAAAAAATGTAAAATGTAGAGGATTGGTTCCTGCGTTACAGGAGGGGTTGAAGAGTCCCATCTCTCACATCCACTGTAGCCCAAACACACATTCCCTCCTCAGTCCTTCTCTATTCCTCTTATCTAGAACACATTTACACTAAATACCTACATTCATTGCACATATTTAGACCACTTTTTTAATTGATATTTTTTATGTTGTGAACTGTGAACACATGCCTCCTTTGATTGTGTGGCAAAGTGTAGATGTCTGTGTTATACTGTACTGTACCTTGCTGCACTGCTCTGTTCTGCCGAGTCATTCCATTCACACTGTAGAATGATCACCCAAGCTGGGTGCAAACATAAGATTCATGATTTTCAATACATTTCTCTGCATTGTGTTGTTTTCCCAGGTGTATGTGACAATAAAACATGTAAACAAATATATAGTGGCCCAAATGACAGTATGAATGCACTGTACTTTGGTTGGACTAGGACATTATACTTGCTTTTTAGGAATATGGAAAAGCGTAAAGAAAAGCAATAGGAAAGAACTGTGGGCCAATGTGATTGTGTAGATTCAATCACTTCTCCTTTCATCTGTGTGTTTTAAAAATGCTTTTTCTTTTGTAATTGATGTCATCTTTTTCCTTTTTCTATTTTACACTTTTGTATTTTTTTTTGTCTGTTGACTCATCTCTTGAGTAGACATACACAATGAATAACAACTTAAGCCTGTTATGATGTGGAAATGTGTTCAGTCTCTTCACTGAGGGCCCACTGGTGCTTCCCACTGTCTGCTGATTCAACTCATTTATACTACTGTACTACTAAATAAAGCTAGAAGATATAAAATGGCTCCTTTTCTTTGTTTCTATCTTCAAGTGTTTCCACGACAACACTCAATCTAATAGTAGCAAAGGGTTGAGAAAAATAATCTGCATTTCAGACTAAAATAGGTGACATACTTCTGTTTTGTCTTTGTAGAAGAATTAGAAGAATGTGGTCAATAGTTTCCAACCGCGGTTGACCTTCTTTCTTCACTCTTACATCAATCGACCTCAAACTGCATGTAAACGGTGAGTGCAGGCTATTTTTAGCTTGCTCAAAAAATTAAGTAGAACGGTCAGCTATACCATAGCTCACATAAGATTCTCTAAAATGAACTCTTATTTCCATTTGCAAGAACCACTGAGTGTAAATATGTAGTACATTTAATTTCTGCATCTCACCACCAAAACATGTTCCATCTGAGTGCATCAGGTCCTAATCAGTTGGATTTAGGTCAAGACAAAATATATTCTGATCGTGAGTCAGATCCTCTTGTCCTATCTGATGTCCTTAGCCCATATGGAAACATCTATGGACACATAATACTTATATTTCTAAACACTTCTACAATCATGTGGATTCTACCCTTAGTACGAATAACCTGAATGAATTGTCAATAATGATGAGTGAGAAAGTTAGAGGGTCAAAGATCATACCCCCAAGACATGCTAACCTCTCACCATTACATTGGAGGCTGGTGACTTGAAAAATTGAGGAGGATGGGAGACCCACGGTATAGGCGCGGACCGAACGACAAAGCGCATTTGAAAAATCATCAAAGATAAATGATTTTAAACTAAATCGTATCATAAAGACATTTATAGTAAAATATTATGAGGAATGGGAATGAGAGGGATACTAACAGTGTTGAGAAGGGCAGCAGTGATTGAATGAGGGTATGAGGCATGAGTAGAAGCGTTCAGAGGCTTGACTTCAGTGCAGGACAGGGTTGAGGTGCTCAGAGACTTCAGTGCAGAAAAAGGCTCATCGTGGATGGATGGAGTTGGAGAAGAGCCCAACTCCTCCACTGAGGGCAGGACATGATTTGACTGGGAAGACAAAAAACAATAAAACACAGTTAGACAAAAGAGCTAGTCCAAGCTAGGAGTAAAATCACATTCATGTGTAATAATGTGATCGTGTTTGTGTATGTGATTGACTCTACATAGTAATGAGATAAAATGTGTAGGGTTATTCACAGTGCTTTGAGAGGAAACTTACAATGTGCCAGTGGATGAAAGGGCATATGGGACATGGGGAATAACAGACAGCAGAGGACCAGAGGATTCAGTTCTTCAGAGGGGCACAGACTGTTCAGTTCTTCAGAGGGCACAGGGCTGTTCACCCATTTTTATATATTAATTTTTTTATACTGCCCCCCCGTGGGAATCGAACCCACAACCCTGGCGTTGCAAACGCCATGCTCTACCAACTGAGCTACATCCCTGCCGGCCATTCCCTCCCCTACCCTGGACGACGCTGGGCCAATTGTGCGCCGCCCCATGGGTCTCCCGGTCGCGACCGGCTATGACAGAGCCTGGATTCGAACCAGGATCTCTAGTGGCACAGCTAGCACTGCGATGCAGTGCCTTAGACCACTGCACCACTCGGGAGTATTTTGACCATATCATCATTATTATGCATATTTCCCAACTCCAAGCTGTATAAACTGGAATGCTCATTGGATTTAAGCATATCAGGTGATGTGTATTTGTGTAATGGGGGAGGGTGTGGCCTAAGGAGATCAACACCCTATATCAAGGTGTGTATAATTATTAGGCAGATTTTTTTCCTCAGGCAAAATGGGCCAAAAAAGAGATTTAACTGACTGTGAAAAGTCAAAAATTGTAAAAAGTATTTAAGAGGGATGCAGCACTCTTGAAATTGCTAAGATATTGGGGCGTGGTCACAGAACCATCAAACGTTTTGTTGCAAATAGTCAACAGGGTCGCAAGAACCGTGTTGAGAAAAAACTACACAAATTAACTGCCAAAGATTTGAGAAGAATCAAACGTGAAGCTACCAGGAACCCATTATCCTCCAGTGCTGTCATATTCCAGAACTGCAACCTACCTGGAGTGCCCAGAAGTACAAGGTGTTCAGTGCTCAGAGACATGGCCAAGGTAAGGAAGGCTGAAACCCGACCACCACTGAACAAGACACATAAGTTGAAACGTCAAGACTGGGGCAAGAAATATCTGAAGATGAGATGAGAGTGACTCTTGATGGACCAGATGGATGGGCCCGTGGCTGGATCAGTAACGGGCACGGAGCTCCACTTCGGCTCAGACACCAGCAAGGTGGAGGTGGGGTACTGGTATGGGCTGGTATTATTAAAGATGAGGTAGTTAGGACCTTTTCGGGTTGAAGATGGACTCAAACTCAACTCCCAAACCTACTGCCAGTTTTTAGAAGACACTTTCATCAAGCAGTGGTACAGGAAAAAGTCTGCATCTTTCAAGAAGACCATGATTTTTATGCAGGACAATGCTCCATCGCATGCATCGAAGTACTCCACTGCGTGGCTAGTCAGTAAAGTCCTTAAAGATGAAAGAATAATGACATGGCCCCCTTCCTCACCTGACCTAAACCCTATTGAGAACTTGTGGTCCCTTCTTAAACGGTCGATTTACCAGTATCTGGGAGGCTGTGGTTGCTGCTGCACAAAAAGTTGATCGTCAACAGATCAAGAAACTGACAGACTCCATGGATGGAAGGCTTATGACTTTTATTGAAAAGAAGGGTGGCTATATAGGTCACTGATTTGTTTTTTGAAATGTCAGAAATGTTTATTTGTAAATGTTGAGTTTGTTTATTATTCTCACTTTAACATATGAAAGTAAACAACTGAGATGGGGAACTTTTGGTTTTTAATTTAGTTGCATGATAATTGCGCACACATAGATATTCTCAAAAGAAAGCCAAAACCTCACTTTTACTTTCTTAAATATTCAGGTTTGAGGTTTATTAACATTTTGGATTGACCGAGAGCACTGTAGTTGATCAATAATCAAATGAATCCTCAAACATACAACTTGCCTAATAATTGTGCACACAGTGTAGTACAGGATTGTGTCACACAGCTTTGCAATGTTCCCTTGAATCTCCCCGTCACAGTAATACACTTGAAGCTCTGTTTACAGTCTTTCCTGATCAAACAAATGGCCATAGGTCTGCAATATAGGTCTGCAATAGGCTTGTCAAAGCATCATCTGGGAATTTTCTCTTGAATTAATCAAATTTACTACCATCTAACAACTCCAGGAATCGCATGCTGTCCAGGCTTGTGTACCTCTGTGCTATCTGAGACTTGATGTTATCATGAATTGAGTCATACAGTGCCTTGTAATCTCTGGATCCTCTGTCATGCTTGCTTCCTTCTCACATATGGCACTGAATTCTACATCAGACTTGTGCTCCTCCATTCTGCTTGTCAGATTCTCTATTCTTCTCTTACAGTAGGCTAAACCGATGGCTTTCTGCTGCACTGTCAAACACAACATCTGTGTGAGCAAATATCTCCTCAAAAGTGAGAAGTAATTTTTTAAAATCTAAATCTTCCAGCTTTGCCTTGAACCCATCTGCACATGACACAGTATCATCATCCATGGTAGGGTGCTTTATGATATGGGTGGTGTCCTTCAGTTGCTCATAGTTTTTCGCCACAGTGTTGACAATTCTAGAAGTGAAATTCCAACGTGTCGGTAAATTTTTCGGCAAACGTGCACATCCATCCAGTTCAAGCAACATCACCCTCTTTGTCGACTTTGAAAAAAAGTGGTGAATTGCTCCTGTTAATCGCTCTGGATAAGAGCGTCTGCTAAATGACAAAAAAATAAAAATATAAAAAATATATAATATACCTCCTCCGTCTCCCGTAATTTGAAAAAACTAATTTGAATTGAATAATATCCCAAAAATGTTCAACTATCACTCTCTATTCAACAATGTCACCAAGCTTCTGAACACATATAACCTCCATAATGCTCTATTGCACAACCCCAATACAACACAATACAACTATTATTTACAATAAAGGTGACTCCCAAATGACACAATGCATTATTTACTACTCATTTCTATTGGGCACAAAATAATCTGAAACACAACCAAAACGAACTGCAAATGCATCCAACAAGTTTGTAGAGTCACACACTTGATGTAGTCATTCCGTGCTAGGAATATGGGACCAAATACTAAACTTTTGACTACTTGATTTATAGGAATCTTTAGGGGTGCCAATCATTATTAAATCTATATGACTTGTTAAACAAAATATTTTTCTCTGAGCAATTGCATTAGTATAAAAATAATATCATTTCCAAAAAATGTTGAGCATACGATATAGCTCAGTATTAGAATTATATATTTTATATAGTAATTATTGCTAATCTTTATCAAGGGTGTCATTAATTTTGTGCCCCACTGTACATATCCTACACATTACTGCATAGAATAATAATATATTTACAGTGCTCTGGAAAAGACACTGATCAAATGCATCATTACATTACAGGATGCAATTTTTTTCCTTCTGCAGCTTGTTTTCAGAGAAGAATATAGATATTACTGTAAGTCTGACACACTCAGTCCTCCCAGCTGGTTATGGTATATTCAGTAGGTGTATACGTTATTGTGGTGTACATGTATTTATGACTCAAAGCTCTGATGCTGATTGTTGATAGATTACATTAGCCTGGAAAAGTAGTATGTAATTTAAGCAGAATATTTATTTAATGTTTTTGTGCATACTGTACACTTTGTAGAAATGCAGTTTTATAGACATGAAAAGTTATGTCAACCCCTCCATACACACTGTTTTGTGTCAGGATGTCAGGGCCTTTGGCATCACAGGAAGCTACTAGTGGCATAAAAACCTGTCCTCATCGAGTGGGCCTCTGTCTCTTCATCAATCTACCCCCTCAGCCACAGTTGTGTAGATAGAGTACTCTCCCAAGCAACGGAGCAGAGTAAGGAGACGTCTTCTCTTTCTCACTGATTGTGATAGGACAGAGTGTTGATCCCACACTCTCACGCACACATACACGTGTACGTACTTTTAAATGTACAGTATACTGGCAGACACTGAAGACAGGACACATAACACTCACAATCTTAGTTGCAGCACTGGTCTTTGCTGAGTGTATATCAGCTACACAGAGGAGGATATAGACAGCTGTGTGTGGCAACCCATCATCATCACCCAACAGTTAAATAGGAGTTCAATAAGGTGAGTAAGTTTCAGTTTTACTTTATAACTCATTAAAATGGAAGCACTTTTTGTTGCATTTACACTAATTAAAAGTTATTCCATTGGTAGTTATACTTTTATAAGGCCTGTGTATTGTAAAGTGTACCTGAATCCTTTATTTTGTCAGTCATTGTTTAGATCATAATGAATATGTACAAGGCTCGTCATAATCATTTTTGAATGGAAACTTGTCAGGATATTGAGGAAATGATGGTTTTTTGTTGTGGTTAATTATTTCCCTGTGTCATCTTGTTTGTGTAACCCGAATGACAAGAGAAGATAAATGACAGTACACTCCTCTCTCTCTCAGCCTATACAGTCATCCAGACATACAGCTAGAGAAGCAGCTGGTCATGGGGAATTGCCTGATCAAAGTACGATCCAATATGCCAACTCTTGAGAATCCAACTGAACCTGCAATGTCAGGTAAGACTAAAGGCCCAGCTTCCTCTATAGGTCTTCTGAATTCTTGATTTTGTTAACCCAATCTGAAAGAATCCTCCACCCAGCCTGAATGCTGATTGCAACTATTAAAAACCATTCTTATTTTTTCAGACAATAACAGGCCCATGGTGGTATCCCTCTATAACTACCCCTCCCAAGGTCCCTTGGAGTCCAGAATCCACATAGGGGAGAGGCTCACTGTGTTATTAGAGTAAGTGACATACATACATGCATGGAGCTGTACATGCAGTATATGTGGTAGTTTGGTTGAAAGCACTGATCTCTTTATTTGCAGCGATGGGGATTTTTGGATGGTGCGATCCACAACAACAGGCAATGAGAGTTATATCCCCAGCAACTACACTGCCAAAGTAATTAACAGGTAAGATAACTACTACTTAGTCTCACTTTTTATTTCTGACTGTCACAGCTGTTTACAATGAGTTGATGTCATGAGAGGGTGGGTATTGGAATTCATCAATAGGGAAGAGAGAGAGGTGGGGACTCCACTTAAAGGTGGGAGCTTCTGTGTACGATCTTAGAAAAAATGATTCCAAAAGGGTTCCTAGGCTGTCCCCATGCACTGTCAAAATAATAATAAAAAATAAATAATCGTATATATATAAAATAAACACTACTCTAGTTGTTTCAACTAATTATTATTAAGTAACTGGTTCCAAAGCCTTTTTTTTTTACTCAACTTTTCGGTCAAAGTGTTACCTGAATTTTAAAAAAATTGTTGGCCCAAAATTAGCTCCAAGCCTCCAACAACAGTCAACTTAAATTGATGTGTTTGCTCAATTTGTGTCCTATGTTCATTCAACTCGAAATTATTATTTTTGGCATCTTACCTAAAAAAGGCTGTTGAACTAGTCACACATACAGTGCTTTTAACATGCAATGTTTTCAACTTACGTATTTGACACACCTTGACATACATGATTACATTTGTGCACGTTCATTTATACAGTAATTATTATTCAATCTTCCTGCTACCCCACCATGTCTGTGTCAATTATCAGTTAATCTGACTATTCTCTCATCATTAACTTATTTAATTGTAGGTTTTTCTGTATAGTAGTCTAATGTTGGTAGGGCATATTACTCTGTTTTAATGTTACTCCTTAAACACTATGATAAATCGTTTTTCTTGAGTGTACTTTTAACAGAGCTCAGATTTACTTTGAAGTGCAAAGTGTAGCAGTAGCAGGAAGATTGGAATGCTGTGAACCAAGAAGTTCAAATCCCAGATGAGGTCATGTTGAATACCAATTACTGTGTATATGAACATGCACAATGTAATCATGTACTGTACGTCAACATGTGTCAAATATGTAAGTTGAAAACATTGTATGTTAAAAGCACTGTGTGTGTGTGTGTGTGTGTGTGTGTGTGTGTGTGTGTGTGTGTGTGTGACTAGTTTTACAGCCTTTTTTTTTGGTAAAATGCCAAAATAATAATTTCGAGTTGATTGAACATATGAGAAAAATTGAGCAAACACATCATTTTATGTTGACTGAATGTTTTCCAATGTTTTCTCATGTTGGAGCTAAGTTTGGGCCAACTAAAAATGTTAAATTCAGGTAACACTTGAATTGAACCGAAAAGTTGAGTAAACAAAAAAAAGAGCCGGTGGAAGCAGTTACTTAATAATATTTAGTTGAAACAACTAGATTTTATTTTATTTGATTTTTTACAGTGCAGCAGAACCCTTTTTGGTTCCAGGTAGAACCATTTTGGGTTCCAGGTAGAACTGTTTGGGGTTTCATGTAGAACCCTCTGTGGAAAGGGTTCTACATTGAATCCAAAAGGGTTCTACCTGGAACCAAAATGATTCTTCCTTGTCCTGGAACCAAAAAGGGTTCTTCAAAGGGTTCTGCTATGGGGACAGCCGAATAATCTTTTTTTTCTAAGAGCGTAGGTGAACTGTGACTCTCTAGTGTCTGTAGACAGAGTTCTGGAACAATGCTTTTTTTCTCTCGCTCTGAATGACATCATCATCAATGTCCTAATTATTTACATTTTACATTTACATAATTTAGCAGACGCTCTTATCCAGAGCGACTTACAAATTGGTGCATTCAACTTATGATAGCCAGTGGGACAACCACTTTTTTTTTGAAGGGGGGCACTATTATGACACTACTCCCTCAGTGGGGGATGATGGCAGTTGTAGTTTCAGTTGAGTTTCCTAACAGGGCGGAGAAGTGTGAACAATGTAATGTACACACTAAAAACAAATGGTTCTATGTTGTGCCAAATAAGGGTTATTTGGCTTGTAACCCTTTTTAATGGTTCTTTATAGAACCTTTATGGAGAATGGTTTTATAAAGAACCTTTCTCAATCTCAAAGGCTCTTTGTAGATCATTTTGAAGAACCAGATCGGGTTTTTTATTCTGTTTAGCCAAATTATTTTGTTAAAAATCCATAGGTGTTATTATTGTGATAACTTACAAGTTGAATCAGGTGTGCTAGGTCTGGAACAGCTGGGGTTCCCTGGGGTGAGGATTGAGAACCACTGAAGTAGTCAACCGTTTTCAATTGACACAAGGCCATACGGCCATAAGTCTTTCACAAGACTCCGTCACTGGCCATAGTCATGTATAACGTGTAATGGCATAACACAACAGATTAGATCAACTGGAATGACACACACACGGTTGCACAAAGAAAGCTGTGAGCAAACCACTCCTCAAAATATTGTAATGAGCCACCGCCTCTTTCATTTTAATTATCACTAAAAGAGCAAAGAACCATTGAAGGGCTCAAAAGAGGGTTCCTCAAGGGTTCTTTGAGTCATTATGGTTCCACATAGCACCATCACCCTTCCCAAAGAACCCTTGAGGAACCCTCTTTTCTTAGTGTGTAGGCCTACTACCTTAGCAAATTATGTAACTACTGTAGTTTCCCAGTAGTGGGAGTTTCATTGTATATACTTCTTCTTCTGATAGTCAATATTTTAACTTTCTCCTCCCGCTCTAATCAGGTGGCAGTATATTGGCATCAGCAGGTTGAAGGCAGAGGAGCTGCTGCTGCTGCCACACAATCACACAGGGGCTTTCCTGATCCGAGAGAGTCAGACAAACACAGGTTAGGCCATGTTCAGGGCTTAAAGCTCGTTTCATTAAATTCATTTTAGTGAATGTTTCTTACAAATGTTAACATGAGTTGTCTAAAAAAAGTTTGTTATAAGCACAACAATTTTTTATTTATTTATTTTATTTCACCTTTATTTAACCAGGTAAGCCAGTTGAGAACAAGTTCTCATTTACAACTGCGACCTGGCCAAGATAAAGCAAAGCAGTGCGGGAAAAACAACAACAACACAGAGTTACATATGGAATAAACAAAACGTACAGTCAATAACACAATAGAAAATCTATATACAGTGTGTGCAAATGTAGTAAGTTATGGAGGTAAGGCAATAAATAGGCCATAGTGCAAAATAATTACAATTATAATTTAGTATTAACACTGGAGTTATAGATGTGCAGAAGATGATGTGCAAATAGAGATACTGGGGTGCAAATGAGCAAAATAAATAACAATATGGGGATGAGGTAGTTGGGTGGGCTAATTACAGATGGGCTGTGTACAGGTGCAGTGATCGGTAAGCTGCTCTGACAACTGATGCTTAAAGATAGTGAGGGAGATAAGTGCAGTTCGTTCCAGTTATTTGCAGCAGAGAACTGGAAGGAATGGCGACCAAAGGAGGTGTTGGCTTTGGGGATGACCAGTGACATATACCTGCTGGAACGCATACTACAGGTGGGTGTTGCTATGGTGACCAATGAGCTAAGATAAGGCGGGGATTTGCCTAGAAGGGATTTATAGAGGACCTGGAGCCAGTGGGTTTGGTGACGAATATGTAGTGAGGGCCAGCCAACGAGAGCGTATAGGTCACAATGGTGGGTAGTATATGGGGCTTTGGTGACAAAACGGATGGCACTGTGATAGATTACATCCAAATTGCTGAGTAGAGTGTTGGAAGCTATTTTGTAAATGACATCGCCGAAGTCAAGGATTGGTAGGATAGTCCGTTTTGGATTGGAGATGCTTAATGTGAGTCTGGAAGGAAAGTTTACAGTCTAACCAGACACCTAGGTATTTGTAGTTGTCCACATATTCTAAGTCAGAGCCGCCGAGAGTAGTGATTCTAGTCGGGCAGGCGGGTGCAAGCAGTGTTCGATTGAAGAGCATGCATTTAGTTTTACTAGCGTTTAAGAGCAGTTGTAGGCCACGGAAGGAGTGTTGTATGGCATTGAAGCTCGTTTGGAGGTTTGTTAACACAGTGTTCAATGAAGGGCCAGATGTATACAAAATGGTGTCGTCTGCGTAGAGGTGGATCTGAGAGTCACCAGCAGCAAGAGCGACATCATTGATATACACAGAGAATAGATTCGGCCCGAGAATTGAACCCTGTGGCACCCCCATAGAGACTGCCAGAGGTCCAGACAACAGGCCTTCCGATTTGACACATTGAACTCTATCTGAGAAGTAGTTGGTGAACCAGGCGAGGCAGTCATTTTAGAAACCAAGGCTATTTAGTCTGCCAATAAGAATGCGGTGATTGACAGAGTCAAAAGCCTTGGCCAGGTCAATGAAGACGGCTGCACAGTACTGTCTTATCGATCGCGGTTATTATATCGTTTAGGACCTTGAGCATGGCTGAGGTACACCCATGACCAGCTCGGAAACCAGATTGCATAGCGGAGAAGGTACGGTGGGATTCGAAAGGCAGGGCAGGATGGATATAGGTCTGTAACAGTTTGGATCTAGAGTGTCACCCCCTTTGAAGAGGGGGATGACCGCGGCAGCTTTCCAATCTCTGGAGATCTCAGACGACACGAAAGAGAGGTTGAACAGGCTGGTGATAGGGGTTGCGACAATTTCAGCGGCTAGTTTTAGAAAGAAAGGGTCCAGATTGTCTAGCCCAGCTGATTAGTAGGGGTCCAGATTTTGCAGCTCTTTCAGAACATCAGCTATCTGAATTTGGGTGAAGGAGAAGCGGGGGGGCATGGGCAAGTTGCAGTGGAGGGTGCAGAGCTGGTGGCCGGGGTAGGGGTAGCCAGGTGGAAAGCATGGCCGTAGCAAAATGCTTGTTGAAATTTTTGATTATCGTAGATTTATCGGTAGTGACAGTGTTTCCTAGCCTCAGTGCAGTGGGCAGCTGGGAAGAGGTGCTCTTATTCTCCATGGACTTTACAGTGTCCCAAAACTTTTTGGAGTTAGTGCTACAGGATGCACATTTCTGTTTGAAAAAGTTAGCCTTTGCTTTCCTAACTGATTGTGTATATTGGTTCCTGACTTCCCTGAAAAGTTGCATATCGCGGGGGCTGTTCGATGCTAATGCAGTACGCCAAGTCTGGGGTGAACCAGGGGCTATATCTGTTCTTAGTTCTGAATTTTTTGAATGGGGCATGCTTATTTAAGATGGAGAGGAAAGCACTTTTAAAGAACAACCAGGCATCCTCTACTGATGGAATGAGGTCACTATCCTTCCAGGATACCCGGGCCAGGTCAATTAGAAAGGCCTGCTCGCTGAAGTGTTTTAGGGAGCGTTTGACAGTGATGAGGGGTGGTCGTTTGACCGTGGATCCATTACGGACGCAGGCAATGAGGCAGTGATCGCTGAGATCCTGGTTGAAGACAGCGGAGGTGTATTTAGAGGGTAAATTAGTCAGGATTATATCTATGAGGGTGCCCATGTGAACGGATTTAGGGTTGTACCTGGTAGGTTCCTTGATAATTTGTGTGAGATTGAGGGCATCTAGTTTAGATTGTAGGACGGCCGGGGTGTTAAGCATATCCCAGTTTAGGTCACCAAGCAATATGAACTCTGAGGATAGATGGGGGGCAATCAATTCACATATGGTGTTCAGGGCACAGCTGTCTGTAGCAAGCAGCAACAGTGAGAGACTTATTTCTGGAAAGGTGGATTTTTTGAAGTAGAAGCTCAAACTGTTTGGGCACAGACCTGGATAGTATGATAGATCTCTACAGTAGATTGCAACTCCGCCCCCTTTGGCAGTTCTATCTAGACGGAAAATGTTGTAGTTGGGAATGGGCATTTCAGAATCTTTGGTGGCCTTCCTAAGCCAGGATTCAGACACTGCTAGAACATCAGGGTTGGCTGAGTGTGCTAACGCAGTGAATAACTCAAATTTAGGTAGGAGGCTTCTGATGTTAACATGCAAGAAACCAAGGCCTTTGCGATTACAGAAGTCAAGAAATGATAGCGCCTGGGGTGCAGGAGTGATACTGGGGGCTACAGGGCCTGGGTTAACCTCTACATCACCAGAGGAACAGAGGAGGAGTAGAATAAGGATACGGCTAAAGGCTTTAAGAACTGGTCTTCTAGTGCGTTGGGTACAGAGAAAAAAAAAGGCAGATTTCCGGGCGTTGTAGAAAAGATTCAGGGCATTATGTACAGACAAGGATATGGAAGGATATGAGTACAGTGGAGGTAAACCTAAGCGTTGGGTAAAGATGAAAGAGATAGCATCACTGGAGGCACCGATTGAGCCGGTCTCCGCGTGTGTGGGGGGTGGGACAAAGGATCTATCTGAGACAGGTTGAGCAGGACTGGGGGCTCTACATTGAAAAAGTACAGTTAGAACTAACCGAAACAGCAATAGGCAAGGCATATTGACATGGGAGATAGGCATAAAGCAGTCACAGGTGTTATTCGAGAGAGCTAAGACAACAGCTGGTAATGGCGATGAAAGTTTGAGCTGAGGCTAAACAGATCAACAGGATGGGGTACAGTATAAAGGAACAGTCCAGCAGGCATCAGCTGTGTAGCTGAGTGATCATAAGGTCCAATGAACAGCAATAAGTAAGTCCGGGAGCAGTTCAGTGGCTGCTACGCTACAGGCGAGCTGGAGGCACGGCTGTTGATTGCGTGTGCTAGCGGGCCGGAGCTAGCAGATGGATCTTCGTGGTCGTCGCAACGGGAAGCCTGTTGAAACCACATCAGACAATTACGTTGGCAGACCAGTCGTGATGGATCGGCGGGGCTCCGTGTCAACACTAGGAAGTCCCGTCCGGTTGACAGAGAGGTCGATAGCCGGGAGATGGGCCTGGCTGGAGGCTAGCTCAAGGCTAACTGGGGTTAGCTTCAGGACAGTGTTGATTAGCCAACAACGACAACAGCCATTCGGTTGCAGCTAGCTAGTTGCGATGATCCGGTGTTAAGGTCCAGTGATTCAGTGATTCCGGCAGAAAATCCGATATGCTCTGGCTCGATAGCGCGATGTGCAGACTGGCCGATAATTGTCCAGGCTAGAGCTGGCTGGTAGGTACTGCAGGCCATGGCCACGGACAATGGTGAAGACCGCTAATGGTGGCTAATAGCAAGTAGCTAGTTAGCTGGCTAGCTGGCTAGTTTCAGCCAGAGGTTCTGGATAAAAATGTATGAAGAAATCATAGAATCCGTTCCACATTGGGTGAGGCGGGTTGCAGGAAAGTATATTTAGTTAAAAGATGGAAAGTGAGATTGAGAAATATATACGAAAAAGACAAAAAATAAAAAAACAGGCTATTTACATGAGGACACTAAAGAAAACACGACCGCACTGCTACGCCATCTTGGATCTAGCCTAGGACTTGTGTGCACTGTTTCATCACTGTTACGTGTCAAGAGTCCGGTGTTATTTTTACTCACAGAAACCTACTCGCTCTCAATCCTTGTGACAATGGACTCATATCTGGCCACAGTGAAACACTACCGCATCTGTAGCCTCCAAAATGGCTGGTTCTACATCTCCCCTAGCCTCACCTTCTACTCCCTGGGCCAATTGGTGGAACACTACTCTGGTGGGTGCAAGCCCATCAATGGGCTCAAATGCATTATTATTAAATACGGTACCAGTCAAAAGTTTGGACACACCTATTCATTCAAGGGTTTTTCTTTATTTGTACTATTTTCTACATTGTAGAATAGTGAACACATCAAAACTATGAAATAACACATATGGAATCATGTATTAACCAAACAAATCAAAATATATTTTATCTTTGAGATTCTTCAAAGTAGCCACCCTTTGCCTTGATGACAGCTTTGCACTCTCTTGGCATTCTCTCAACCAGCTTCATGAGGTAGTCACCTGGAATGCATTTCAATTAACAGGTGTGCCTTGTTAAAAGTTAATTTGTGGAATTTCTTTCCTTCTTAATGCGTTTGAGCCAATCAGTTGTGTTGTGACAAGGTAGGGTTGGTATACAGAAGATAGCCCTATTTGGTAAAAGACCAAGTCCATATTATGGCAAGAACAGCTCAAATAAGCAAAGAGAAACGACAGTCCATCATTACTTTAAGACATGAAGGTCAGTCAATACGGAAAATGTCAAGAACTTTTAAAGTTTCTTCAAGTGCAGTCGCAAAAACCATCAAGCGCTATGATGAAACTGGCTCTCATGAGGACCGCCACAGGAAAGGAAGACCCAGAGTTACCTCTGCTGCAGAGGATAAGTTCATTAGAGTTAACTGCACCTCAGATTGCAGCCCAAATAAATGCTTCACAGAGTTCAAGTAACAGACACATCTCAACATCAACTGTTCAGAGGAGACTGTGTGAATCAGGCCTTCATGGTCGAATTGCTGCAAAGAAACCACTACTAAAGGACACCAATAAGAAGAAGAGACATGCTTGGGCCAAGAAACACAAGCAATGGGCATTAGACCGGTGGAAATCTATCCTTTGGTCTGATGAGTCCAAATGTGAGATTTTTGGTTCCAACCGCCGTGTCTTTGTGAGATGCAGAGTAGGTGAACCGATGAAAATGTATGCACTCACTAACTGTAAGTCGCTCTGGATAAGAGGAGGAGGTGTGATGTGTGAGGTGCTTTGCTGGTGACACTGTCAGTGATTTATTTATTTAGAATTCAAGGGACACTTAACCAGCATGGATACCACAGCATTCTGCAGCGATACGCCAGCCCATCTGGTTTGTGCTTAGTGGGACTATCATTTGTTTTTCAACAGGACAATGACCCAAAACACACCCCCAGGCTGTGTAAGGGCTATTTGACCAAGGAGAGTGATGGAGTGCTGCATCAGATGACCTGACCTCCACAATCACCTGACCTTAACCCAATTGAGATGGTTTGGGATGAGTTGGACCGCAGAGTGAAGGAAAAGCAGCCAACAAGTGCTAAGCATATGTAGGAACTCCTTCAAGGCTGTTGGAAAAGCATTCCTCATGAAGTTGGTTGAGAGAATGCCAAAGGTGTGCAAAGCTGTCATCAAGGCAAAGGGTGGCTTTTTGAAGAATCTCAAATATATTTTGATTTGTTTAACACTTGTTTGGTTATTACATGATTCCATATGTGTTATTTCATAGTTTTGATGTCTTCACTATTATTCTGCAATGTAGAACATAGTAAAAATAAAGAAAACCACTTGAATGAGTAGGTGTGTCCAAACTTTTGACTGGTACTGTATATACTTTTTAAATATTTTTTTTTACTATGTCAATATGGCCCTAAACTGGTGGAAGTTGTGAATAAAGTCAATAGTTGGAAGAGTTGCAGAGTGAATTGAAAATAATGCCATTGTTGATTAGATGCTTTTTTCATTAATTAAGCAATTTTCTCTTGAACCATATAGTCTATCCACTAGAAATTCATTGACAATATAGACACAGATATAAAAATATATACTATATATATAAATAAAATGTTTAAGTTATTCAAGTATAAATTACTAAAGTTACCATAGATTGCCATAGATTAACTGTTAATAACCAAAATCACAAAGGATTCCAGTAACTTTGGTAAATTACCGGTAGCGTTGCAACCCTACTGGTGACTGAGGTCACTTACAAATAAAAATGGCCAATCATAATGAGTTGTTTGGCTAGAGAATGTTTTAAACATTTGGAAACATGTCTATCTACAGAGTCAGCAGATGGGTTGTGCTGTTTACTGAGGGAGCCTTGCATCATCCAAGGCTCAAACAATACTACCATGACCACCAGATCCTATCCCAAAGCTATAAGGAGGCCCACACTCAACTGGAATGATGTAGACAGGTGGGGCACATTCCTAAATCTTCCATCTACCATATTTTGTGTCCAAAGTGACCTACACACTATTTATTTCACTGTTTGTCAACATGACATGAAATGTGATGCTATAGCTATGCAATCAATTGCATTGTGTGTACACATTGTAAGATGATGCATTCTGGTGGTAGTTAAAGTATATCACATTCCATATGCCTCTGTCTTTCCAGTTCAATGATCTTCAGTAAGGCCAGCGTGGATTCAGAGGACTCTCTAGTGAGTGAGGGGCTGAGGGAGGCCATCAGCTCATACCTCTACATGACAGAGGTCAGCTGCCAGAACTGTGGCAAACACTGGGATTCATGAGGAAAGGGAGGACTGTGAGAGTAAAAGAGACAGACATAATACTGTCTGGTCTGCTGCTGCCCAGGACTAATGGTACTAGGCCAGAAAGGGTGCTCTACATAAAAGCATTGTGGAAGTTGATAGAAGTAAGCCTACCATTTACAACCACAATGAAAAAAATTAAAACTACAAGCACGATCAATGTCTTGATGGTAGAATGTGTGTTAGGGTTCAGGTTGCCACAGGGAGCCTTGTTACGTGGCACTTCTCAAGTCTTCTAATGCTGTAGCTGTGCTTGTGCTCAAGAACACATTTCAGAGGCTGGACAGAGGCTGGACACGAAAGGTATTATTTGTACTGTCTTTGGTATTATGATGTGAGGAGCACTTCCTTTGAGCTCATGGAAGGTTCCATTCTGCTTGTCCACACAGAAACGCCCATGCATTGGTCCATTTTTTTTTTTTTTTACCAAAGGAAGATCACTGAATGACAAGAATGTTGTAATTGGACTAAATGTATAACCGATTGTTCGTTTCATATGCAATCTGTTAGTCCGCAATCCGTTTGTACATTAATGAAATACCATGTCTGAATTAACTTGAAACTAACTCCAACTTTTTACCAGCATGTGGCTGCATGGTGCTGCATGCTCTGGTTGTGAGTGAGAATGAGGAATAAATAAATGACCGTTTTGTTTCTTATCATGGCCAACCTTTTCATTCTAAAAACAAGAGCATCAAAACAAGACACCGGGTGCCACACCGAGAAAGCATCTTATGTCAAAACCATTTTCAAATCCTACCACTAGATGCCGCTACTTTTGAATATGTGTATCAAGACCTAGCGGTCGTCACTGGCTTCTATAGCCACAAAGTCATAAACACCGCCCATTTCTACAATTGATCTTCTTAAAACCTAACCAGACTGCCAACCTTAAATTAACACAAAAAAATCTAACTTTTGTAGCGAATCTGACTAGACCTAGCTAGCTAGTTAAAACGTCCTGCTTGGAACAGTTCAAGGAGAATAAATAATGGCGACGCTGGGTTCCGAGTCCCCTTGGACTGGAGGAAAACAAAGCAGTCGTAATGGAAATATAATTGCAAAGATCAGACAGAGTCAGATCGTAGGCCAGGGTTTCAGCCGAGGGACACAGGTAAGACAACTAGTGCGATGTATTGACAATGAAAGGATATGAAAAGGGGGAGCACGACTCAAGCTGGGACTTGCGTTTGCAACCCAGAGAGCTACACTATTACAGTAGCTAGCTCCACAGTAGCTGCAGGCATACATACACACACAGCATGCCGGGATGAAGTAGCTAGGTAGCTGTTTACCTGGCTTGTTGGTTAGGTGGCTAACATTGGCTGGCTGTGTTACAAAATAATGTGTTAATTTACATGACAAAGTTGGAATATACACCGTAAACTAGTTACAATAAAGTGCCAGCTGACATCCTCCATGTAGCCTGCACTAGCTAGCTAACGTTAACTCTTTCGTTGATCCAGGATGCCCGTTTTAGCTAACAATTAGCTCGTTTGTTAACGTCTTGTTTCTATTTGTACGCATTTATACATTCAATTGGCATCTCTAGCTAGCTATATTACTCATTGTTGTTATATTAGCTAGCTAACGTTAAAATGTTGAGTTTGCTCAATTGAAAGTGTGCACTGCTAGCTAACTCGCTAGCAGCTTAGTTTGGCTAATATTAACATAACAGTTAGCTAACTTGGCAAGCTTGGTTATGGCTTCATCGGCGGATTGGGATCAAATAAGCCATTACATTACATTGTATTTTGACAGGCTGTTTCTGCCATCTATCTAACTAGGGCTAATACTGGCTGAACAGCACGGGTGATTACGTAACGACACCGGGCGCCACTTTAGTTAACATAAATGGGTGCCGCCCATTTGTGGACTGTGACTGGGCACATATAACAGGTATTTTACCTAGTTAGCCTCCTTTGCTCAAAGGAAACTATCATTACTAGCCAGCTAAACCTTAAAGGCAAAAGTCTTTGTCGTTCCTGCAGTATTGAAAAAATCGATTGTACCTTTTTTTGCAATTAATATTGAGGAAATGATACTCATTCAAAATCAATTGTTTACAAATGGCTGCAGTAAACTAGTTTCAAGTTTTAATGTCAAGTGCACAAGTACAGTGAAACGCCAATGGTGGCGATCTTCAAGCCACTCCAGCGGACGCTTGGCATTGCGCATGGTGATCTTAGGCTTGTGTGCGGCTGCTAGGCCATGGAAACCCATTTTATGAAGCTCCCGACAAACAGTTATTGTGCATTGCTTCCAGAGGCAGTTTAGAACTCTGTAGTGAGTGTTGCAACTGAAGACAGACGAGTTGTACATGCTATGCGCTTCAGCACTCGGCAGTTCCGTTCTGTGAGCTTGTGTGGCCTACCACTTCGTGGCTGAGACGTTGTTGCTCCTAGACGTTTCCACTTCACAGTAACAGCAATTACAGTTGCAGAGCAGAAATTTGACGAACTGACTTGTTGGAAAGGTGGCATCCTATGACGGTGCCACGTTGAAAGTCACTGAGCTCTTCAGTAAGGCCATTCTACTGCCAAAGTTTATGAAGATTGCATGGCTGTGTGCCCGATTTTATACACCTGTCGGTAACTGGTGTGGCTGAAATAGCCGAATCTACTAATTTGAAGGGGTGTCCACACACTTTTGTAAATATAGTGTAGGTAGTCCTCTTATCTAGGTGGGTGAGGGCAGTGTGGAGTGCAATAGAGATTGCGTCGTTTATGGATCTGTTGGGACGGTATGCAAATTGGAGTGGGTCTAGGGTGTCTGGAATGATGGACTTGATATGTGCCATAACCAGCCTTTCAAAGCACTTCATGATTACAGATGTGAGTGCTACAGGGCGGTAGTCATTGTGCCATGAAGCCTTAGAGTTCTTGGGTCAGTTTAAGATTACAGACTGGACAAGGAGAGGTTGTAAATGCCTGCCAGCTGTTCTGCGCATGCTCTGAGAACACGCCCTGGAATACCGTCCGGCCCTGTTGCCTTGTGAGTGTTGACCTGATTAAAGACCTTACTCACGTCTGCCTCGGCGAGCGAGATCACCCAGTCCTCTGGGTCGGTGGGGGCACGCACGGCACGGGGTTGTTAATGTCGACGCATACATAAAATGCATTGACTTCATCTGGTAGAGGCATCTTTGGGCAGATCACGGCTGGGTCTTCATTTGTAATCTCTGCCACATGCTGCGGGCATCGGAGCCTGTGTAATATGATTCCACCTTATTCCTATATTGTCCTTTTGCTCGTTTGATGAATCTGCGGAGGTCGTAGCGGGACTTCTTGTACTTGTTCCTGTCCTCAGCCGTAGCCTTTGGGTTGTCTGTGATAGCCCTGTGTGCGGTAGCCCTGTCCTTTATTTTAGCGCCAACCTCAGTGTTAATCCAGGGTTTTTGATTGGGGAAGCAGTGAACCTTCACTGTGGGGATAATGTCGCCGATGCATTGCCTAATGAAGCCAGTGACGGAGGTGGTTAGCTTGTTGACTTTATCAGCGGAGTCTCTGCACATATTCCAATCAGCGCTGGCAAAGCAGTCCTGTAGCATAATCTCTGATTCTGATGACCATTTCTCAACAGAGCGAGTCACGGTTACTTCCTGTTTGAGCTTCAGCTTGTATACAGGAAGCAGGAGTACGGAGTCATGATCTGATTTGCCGAATTCTGTGGTGGTGGTTGGTGATTTTTAAATCCCCTTGAATTGTATATGTGACATGAAAAGCACTTAGCTCTAGAATGAACCTTTCAGACTCCCTGCACATCTAATTCCATTGTAGTGAAATGTGACCTATTCAACTCACTACCAACTTGCCCCAAAGGCCTGTGTTGCTCCACTGATTCCAATAAAAAGTCTCAAATGGCAGTTTGAGCCTCATTCATAATAATTGAGCTATGAGAACTGAAAGTTCTATATTGTGTTCCATTTGTGATGGATTTCAGTTGGGCGTGATTTGAAATAACTTCAGACTTAACTCGTGCCAAGAGATAGTATCTGCAACTGGAATTAGGAGAGGATGTGTTTATTTGGCACCAACATCGAAGACCTAGACTTTTATTTAATCTGATTTGAGGTTGTGTGGGTGTGCGGAGGGTAGAGTAAAGTTATCAACTGTCTGTGTTATTTTGACAGGTAACATACTAGATACATTTTCTAAGCTGTCTATGTATATTTCCTGTATTGACCATTAACTAATTGTGTTCCAGCTCCCAGAGGCTCTTCTCCAGGAGAGGGATAAGCGGGCTAAATGGCACGGTATCCCCAAGCTGCTGCAGAAGCTCCATGAGAGCAGCCATCCCAACAGTGACCTCTCCCACACACATAGTGTACTAAAGGTACCCACATAATATACACACACACCTACATCAGCAAAGCTCCTAGGCTTTAACCTTGCTGAGTTTGGGCCATTTACTCTAAGATTAAGACTAGGCCTAATTATCGGTTCTTTGTTACAGGAACTATCCTCCCTACTTTCCATGGAGGCGATGTCTTTTGTCACAGAAGACAGGAAGAGTGCTCAGGAATCCATCTTTCCCATCACATACACATTTGACCTCTTTGGTGGAGTAGATGTAAGTTAACATACTGTTTATTATGCGCTTTTCACTCCTACAGTGGGAAAAACAAGTATTTAGTCAGCCACCAATTGTGCAAGTTCTCCCACTTAAAAAGATGAGGCCTGTAATTTTCATCGTAATACTTATTTTCCACCATAATTTGCAAATAAATTCATAAAAAATCCTACAATATGATTTTCTGGATTTTCTTTTCTCATTTTGTCTGTCATAGTTGACGTGTACCTATGATGAAAATTACAGGCCTCTCATCTTTTTAAGTGGGAGAACTTGCACAATTGGTGGCTGACTAAATACTTTTTTTCCCCACTGTATGTTCTGTGTTGTGGTGGAAACTTATCAATTACCAGTTTGAATGTCTTGAATCAGCCATGTTACCCCATACTGCAGTGTCTTGTGTATCAGTGCCTTCTGAGATATTATCAGGTGAGATATGTTTGTTCATTGCCGCTTCTTTTTCCTCCAATCAAAGCTGCTTGTAGAGATCTTGATGAGGCCTACACTCACTATGCAGAAGAAGAAACCTAAAAGTAAGCAGAAAAAGTCAGGTCTGATATAACCTCAAAGGCGGCACTTTTCACCTAGGGGAACATTGATATTCATGAGTGTGTAAAAAAGGTATACCCAAATGCGCTTCAGCCCAGCTTAAATTAAAAAAGGGGGATCAGGTGCTCAACTGAGGGACTTGAAAATCCAAAAAACATTCCTTACCCCAGGATACTTGAACTGGTGACTATCCGGGAGAATAAAGAACATTCATTGTGTTTTGTCCCTGCAGTGAATGATGACTTGGTCAATGACTGCCTTAGTGTTCTTTACAACTGCTGCATATGTGTAAGTACCCTTGCTGCAGAACATCACTTAAAATAAAAAATAAAGGAATCATGTCTGTCTTTTCATATGAACATTCATTAATCATCAAATCTCTCCCCTAATTTTCTCAGACGGAGGGGGTAACAAAGAGCCTTGCAGCCAGAGAATACTTTGTCCTGTTTCTCTTCACCTTGATGACGAACAAGAAGACTTTTCTACAGACTGCCACTTTAATCGAGGATATTCTCGGAGTCAAGAAGGTCAGAGGAACTTTACAACAAAATCTTGTACGATATTGCTCACCTCAAGAGAGTTTGTGGGTTTGCGCTGGGTAGAGATTTTGTATCCATGATCATGTTATGCCAATGGTGACCAATATGTTGGTCCTCTTTCTGCCACAGGCGATGATCCAGTTGGAGGGGATTGCTAACCTGTCTGGTCTGGTCCAGAGTTTTGACCAGCAGCAGCTGGCTAACTTCTGCCGTATCCTCTCCATCACAGTCTCAGAACCCGACATGGGGAATGACGAGAAACACACCCTGCTGGCCAAGAACGCCCAGCAGAAACAAAACGCTAGCCTCTCACATGCAGAGGTCAACCAAAGTAGGACAGAGACACAGAAACACAGTGGAGAAATTACGTTTTTCTTTAGCTCAATTACCCTTTCTTATGGTCTTGTTAAAGGATTGGTTTGATTCATCTGTTGATTTGTAGTACTTATTTTATTTGATACCCTTATTCTGTCAAAAAGTTTTCTCAGCGCTTAACCTAAAACTGTTGTAGAGTACATGATCAATGAATGAGCCCACACTGCCTCCCTGTCCCCAGTGACCCTCCTAAACATCCCTGGCTTCATCGAGCGCCTGTGTAAGCTGGCCACCAGGAAGGTGTCTGAGGCCACAGGGACGTCTAACTTCCTGCAGGAGCTGGAGGACTGGTACACGTGGCTGGACAACGCCTTGGTGCTGGACGCCCTCATGCAGATGGCCACGGAGGAGGCTGAGCACACCAGCACAGGTCAGCAGCCTCTTTCCTGCTCTGTACCACTGCCTTAAACATCAGTTATCTCTGAAAATGCTTATTTATAGTACTATACAGAAATATCCTGGACATCTCTGTTGTCATCTCGCCTCTGTTGTCACCTTAGAGGTCTTCACAGATCCACCTGTAACCGAATACCCGATACCCGATCCGGGACCCAGAATTCAAAATAATGTCACAGGTCTGGGTCAGATCTGATATGAATGTCACGGGTCTCGGGTACGTGTAATTTTAACTGACTTGTCTGGAAGGGCCCGCACAGATTTGAATGTGACTGCTGCACTAGAGAGAGAGAGAGAAATTGTATAATTTTATGCTGCTGCTCTTGCTTTTCATGAGAGTGGCGCGTGTAGCTTGTTGTTGGCCAATCATAAGTAATCAAAGCGGCAATAGGCTACAGTCATAGAGCCTCTGTGTGGTAAAAGTTAGGAGATATCTAGTCAGGATAAGCTACAACGACCAAGAGCCAACAGGCAGGCTGCTACTTAATATTCTGAATGGAGTTGTTGTTATTTGTAACTACAGGATGAGAAAGCGCATGCACTGCAGCCTCAATTAGCCTAGCTAGCTAACGTTAGCTAGCTTAACTAGCTTCTCCCAGTTTGATGCAGTCAAGACAGGTACTACGTAATCATATTAGATGACAAATAACCTAGCTATGGCAGCTATTAGTCTACTATAGCGCGAGTCAGCTTGGTTGCTGTCTCTCCCGCCCTGCTCCCCATGTCACTCGCTCATGGTACGGCCCCTCCCCTGCCTGGTAGAGCAGCACCTCGCTCTCCCTCCTCATGCTTTATCATCTCCGGGTAATAAAGTAGGTTAAAAAATGATTTTTCTGCTGCTTACCACACTGATCGGACCGGGTCTGTATCCGACCAGGTCTATACGGAATGGGTCTCTATATTTAAAAAATATATTTATGCATATCAGGTCCGGGTGGGAAAGCCCCTGGTCCATTTCATGAAGACCTGAAGACCTCTCCGTCACCTACCCTTGTACCTCTGTCGATCTATGAACTTCTCATTTAATTTTTTTCATCCTATTGTGCCTCCTCCACAGAGTTGTCAGATGAGAGTTCGTTGGCCACCAGTCCTCTCAGGCACCGTTTGCCCCAGTCCATGAAGATCGTCCATGAGATCATGTACAAGGTGGAGGTGCTGTATGTGCTCTGTGTGCTGCTTATGGGTAGTCATAGGAACCAGGTGAGGAGCTGGGGGCCAAAACAGACAACTCACCCAATGCAGGGCTCTCTCAGGAGTAGCCACTCCTGTCTTTTTGCATGTATTTGACCACTGTGTCTCTTCCTCAGGTACACAAGATGCTAGCAGAGTTCCGTCTGATCCCAGGTCTCAACAACTTGTTTGATAAGCTGATCTGGAGGAAGTACACCTTGTCCAATCACGTGGCGCATGGCCAGAATGAGAACTGTGACTGCAGTCCGGTAAGCAGTGCACACATCTCTCAATGAGCTGTCACTGGATGTTTTTTTAAAATTCTTGCTCTGGGTTCATATTACCATTGCAGTGTTATACATTTTTTAATATCAATCACTCTGATTCTGTCCTTCCCTTAGGAAATATCCTTCAAGATCCAGTTTCTGAGGCTTCTCCAGAGCTTTAGCGACCACCATGAGTGAGTAACCTTCAAACAGTCTCTCTGACTGAAAGTTCCCTGCTAGCTTCACTTGAAGTTAACACATAACATTTTAATTTATTTAAGGAACAAGTACCTGCTTCTAAACAGTCAGGAGCTAAACGAGCTGAGTGCCATCTCTCTGAAGGCCAACATACCGGAGGTGGAAGCCTTCGTCAATACAGACAGGTATGCATAATCTGGTCCTATCATCTGTTCCCATCATTGACTCCACCCTCAATACGTCACACTACAGTGCAAAAGAGGCATTATGTTCTTTGAAAACTCAAATGAAATACCATATTGTGTGTCACACTATTGCCCTCTCCTTGTGCTCCTGCAGGAGTCTAGTGTGTGATGGGAAGAAAGGTCTCCTCACGCGTCTCCTCACTGTCATGAAGAAGGAACCTCAAGACTCCTCCTTCAGGTTCTGGCAGGCCAGGGCAGTGGAGAGTTTCCTCCGTGGAGCCACCTCCTATGCGGACCAGATGTTTCTGCTGAAGAGGGGGCTGCTAGAACACATCCTGTTCTGCATCATAGACAGTGGCTGTAAGTCCAAAGATGTCCTGCAGAGCTACTTTGACCTGCTGGGGGAACTCATGAAGTTCAACATCGACACCTTCAAGAGGTTCAACAAATATGTCAGCACAGACGACAAGGTGAAGGTGAAACCCTTTAGTAAATAGCAACCCCCTCAATGTGAGAGGACCCTGTCAGTCCTCTCATTGTCCCAGAAAATGCATGAAATAATGCAATATAGATTATTATAGTCAACCTTTTAAAAGTCATTACATTTTACATTTTAGTCATTTAGCAGACGCTCTTATCCAGAGCGACTTACAGTTAGTGAGTGCATACATTTTCATACTGGCCCCCCGTGGGAAACAAACCCACAACCCTGGCGTTGCAAGCGCCATGCTCTACCAACTGAGCTACAGGGGACTGGGGAAAGTCATCTCATTGTACCCAGAGTTGTGTGTGTTCTATAATGCTGTGTGTCTCATCCCTCTGTTCGGCTCGGCTGCAGTTCCAGACCTTCATGACCCAGATCAACAGTTCCCTGGTGGACTCCAACATGCTGGTGCGCTGCATCATCCTGTCCCTGGACCGCTTTGAGAGTCAGACAGAGGACGTAAAAGGTAAGCACCCACTGATTTCCATAGCAAGTGAATGGACCAATGAGAGAGGGTCAGATGTATGATCTCATGCTGCCAATGTTGGAATGAAGTCAAACCTTGAGTGCATTATAATGGTGTTGTTCCTGATGTAATTGTTGCCGACTGTGGTCCTGCAGTGGTGGAAGTGCTGTCCGAATGCTGTCTGCTGTCCTTCTTGGCCCGGGTAGAGAACAGACTTTCTTTCCTCTTCAGGCTGGTCAACATCATCAACGTGCAGACTCTCACACAGGTCTTGCCTCACACTTTCTCACAAACACCAAAACCAACGCACACACACACAAATCAGCCCACGAGAAAGAAGAAAAATGGACAACCTTTAGCCCTTGATCATGACTCTGTTACATTACATTACACACAAGTCATTGGACGAAGACGTCTTCTGTACGGGGGAGTTTTGTTAAGACCCCCGACGCCCAATCTGAACATTAACACGCGGTACGGTTTTGGATTTATAAGGACCTTATCTTTCATATCAGTGATTATTGACGTTTCTAAAAGTTGAAACAGTGTCAGGATTGTAGTTCACATGAGGTGGTCGTGGGCAAAGCTAATGGCAGAAAACTGTAGGGAGAAGGCAGACTGCCACCTAGAGTTTTCGAGAGCAAGACAACCTTGTACCTCTCTTTTAAGATTAATGAAGCCTCAGTTCTGAGGGTTAGAGGCTGTTGTTCTCCCACATGTGCTGCTGACCTGTCCCCTCTGCCCTGCCCACCCCCTGGCCCAGGAGAATGTGAGCTGTCTGAACACCAGCCTAGTGGTCCTGATGCTGGCAAGGAGGAGGGGCAAGCTGCCCTTCTATCTCAAGGCCCTGAGAGAGAAGGAGCATGCAGAGAAGTACCCCGGCTGCCTGCTCAACAACTTCCACAACCTGTTGTGCTTCTGGCAGTGTCACTACCTCAACAAGGACAAGGACAGCACCTGTCTGGAGAACGTGAGTGTCCTCTTCTTGGCCTGCTCTGTCCCAAACAGGGAAACACCGTCAAACTCACCAATAGTTTATTGTACGTTCAAAATATTTTTCCTACAAATGTTATGTGCCCACCCGATCAAGCCTGCTTTCTCCACTACACTATCTTGTTGCAGCCTGTAGACTGGCTGGCCTGTCATTAACTAGCTCCATAAATTATAATATGTTTTCATTAGGCAGTCCACCACCTTTTGTTTAATAAAAACAAATACGTTTTCTAATGAGAAACTTTTCTGTAGAAACCATTTCTGGTGTTGTGCAAACAATGTTCAACTTGACATCTTTTAATGCTCCGAAGTAGCCCTTTCCAGTCACAAACCGTCATCCCGTATACAGGTTGAAAATGGCAGATGTCATTGATACTTGCCTAAATTGGAATGCAGTAGCTGGTACAGTAACATACTATACATGACGTCAGGGCTCAGGCTCTTCGCTTCACATCACTGTATGGGTTTTGACTGACAGCCGTAATAAACTTGAGCACCGTGCACGACAAGAAGATGCCCCCATTCCTTCCGCTAATTAGGCTACTTTTGCACACACATTTGTTGTTGCCTGAGTGAGGGAACTGCTGTAAATCAAGAGGAGTCAATGTGTTCTGAAAGTTGAGACGTTGAGGATTATAAGAAACACTGCTTTGATGTCAATGTCATACAAGCAAACCACACCCATGAGTCCAAATGTGCACTTCACATTTCCATATTTTAAAATATGTACAGTATTAATGTTTATGATCGCTATGCTTGATCCACAGTTATAAGCATGACATGGCGTCATGCCCTGGGTTGTCCTGAAGAGAATGAGCATATGTTTGTCGTATTGTGAAGAAAATCAGCCACGGAACACGCACTTGAATGCACTCATGACTCCATTCTATGTGCACCAAAATTACATTCTGTTTGTCTGAAGTGCCTTTTGAAAGCCTAATACTGTAAGATCGTATTTTATAACTTAGCTAGCCATGTTGGCAATAGAATAAGCTTTCAAATGATGACCAACTGACCCAGATCGCAATTTATAATGGAATGTTTTTGGATTGCGCAAACAACAGTAATTGTGTGATGGTTGGGACGCAGGAGCTGTGTTCCAAACAAAAAGCTAAAAGAGTGCTTGCTTCAGTTCCTCAATGGCAAAGCTAGGAGAGCTCAAAAAAGCACCTTAAAGTTGAAGGCTCTTTCCTTGAGTCATAAAAGTGCATTGAAATGACTTAGGAACTGTGCACAGTTTGGAGAGGTGTGTGGCCACTTGGAGACACCAGTTGGACCTCTCACTCAAACCCTTGTCATTGTTTTGTCATATCTTGCACCTACTCCAAAATGTCAATTAGTTTACTTATGTTACTGAATGTATCTATGGTATTTTCAGATTTCGTTATTGACAAATGCTGTGAAAAGTACAGTAAATGTAAAATGCACATAAAATCAACAATGTAATGTTTGGATTCAGTCTTGTCAGGTGAACTGTTGTCCTCACCTTTTGGTCTGATAATTTCCCCATAATATCCAAAGTGTTCTCTTTCAATTGCTACCATAGTCATGCATATGCTTTTTATAGTTCCTCAGTTAGAAACATTTAAATTTAGCCCTATCCATATAGGACCATTTCCACGAGTGTAGGGGGTTAATGGAGCATGTAGCTAGCTAGCTACAATTCCCACGTGGGGCCAGTATAAAACAAAAAAAGAGAACTAACTCACTAACTGTAAGTCGCTCTGGATAAGAGCGTCTGCTAAATGACTAAAATGTACCGTAAATGTAATTCAAAAGGTGAAAAATGTGGGGAAGTGAGTTAATCTGATCTGTCTTTGCCCAGAGACTGGGGGTCTTCTTAGTAGGCGTTCTAGATGTTTGCGGGCAGAGGAAAGTTTAACATCAGGATTTTTTAAAACCATGAACGCACATCCCCTTCTCCTCTTTGGGGAAATTGTCTTTCACCAGTCTAACGCTCTGTTTGGTTCTCTCCCTCAGAGCTCCTGCATCCCCTTCAGCTACTGGAAGGAGACAGTATCAGTGCTGCTGGGGTCAGACAGGACTTCTCTGTGTGCCATAGCCAGCTACATAGATGAGCCCTTCATGGACCTAGACAGGGACCTGCTGGAGTATTAACCCTAGGAGAGTTTGGGCTGGGCTTTTGGGGGGTTGCTGGGGTATGGACACCTATCATGGGTGATGCACCCGCCAGAGAGCATAGCCAGATCAGGGGTCACCCAGCGACCTGGAAGTGCTATGTGACTGCGGCTGGACACCGACTCGCCGCTATGCTGTCTATAACTTGGCCAGGAGGCCGTTACTGAAGATGAGAGTGGTGATTCTACGATCCTGGGCATCTTCACTCCTTTTCTCTTTGGAGGAGAAGAAGAGAGACTGCACCTGTCTGTCTGTCTCATACCCCACATTAAATAAATATACATTTATTGGACCTTGAAATACTCCTTTGTTGGTGGTTTGCTTTAGGTGAAATCAAATGGAACCTTTTATATATTACATAAATATATGGAAATATATATATATATATATACGATGCAACAAATGAGATAGAGAGAGAGATATATACTGAACAAAAATATAAACGCAACATGTAAAGTGTTGGTCCCATGTTTCATGAGCTTAAATAAAAGATCCCAGAAATGTTCCATACACACAAAAAGCTTATTTCTCTCCAATTTTGTGCACAAATTTGTTTACAGCCCTGTTAGTGAGCATTTCTCCTTTGCTAAGGTAATCCATCAGGTGTGGCATATCAAGAAGCTGATTAAACAGCATGATCATTAGAGAGTTGCACCTTGTGCTGGGGACAATAAAAGGCCACTCTAAAATGTGCAGTTTTGTCAACACAATGCCACAGATGGCTGCTCATCATGACTGAATGCAGAGGTGGCATCAGTCTTGTCCAGTGTTCTTTTGAATGAACAGCATCTTCACTGATCTGTATGGATGTTAGTCTGTCTCTTTTAGGATGAATCTAGTTGACAAGTGCTTGTGGCTTTACTCAGCCTGTCCAGGTAGCTTGTGGATATGTTGATGGTTCACGTTATATTGGGCCATGTGGTGGGTGAGATGGGGCTTTGGATGGGAGTACCACTCACCAGATGCCGCCAACCCATCCATGACTTCACCCAGTGACAAGGAACATTTTTCCTTTCTGTTTTTCAGACATTTTTGTTTGCGTCTTGTTAAGATAATTTATTTAAGTTCTAAATAAACTGTAGAGAAAAAATTGCACAGTTGTAATTGTGTTAATTGTTTATTGTATTTTAACACTTGTTTTGTTTATTGTGATGAAAAATACATTGTTTTCATTTTGTATCAGACTTTGTATCCATCAAATTAAAGGTGGTTTGATAGAATAATAAACTATGCAGGTTCTCGTGTTTAAACCCACTCTCTCTGTCCCAGACACTTCTGACAACGGTTCCATTTTACATTTGAGTCATTTATCAGACACTCTTATCTAGAGCGACTTACAGGAACAATTAGGGTTAAGTGCCTTGCTCAAGGACACATCGACAGATGTTACTGGCCCAACGCTATTAACCGCTATGCAACCTGCCGCCCTAAGGTTCCTTAAAACCTCTAAGCATGAATGGCCTTCAACCAAACAGCCACGCTGTGCTGCATCACTTGATTGTTCCTCCCCCAGTTGACCACTAAACTCGTGACTTCTCTTCTCTCACCACAAGCCTAGACTTTGACAATCTTCATCCGTCTTTGTGTGATGATTCTGTGCTTGGTGTCACCTCTAATGTGATTGGCTATAGGGGGAATGGGTGTGGTCATGTTGCTATGGCTAGACTGTGCTGACGTTGCCGTGGAAATGGATGCTGAGCTGTGTAAGCATTTTGCATCTCTCCAACAAAAGAACGAGAATCCAAGAAAATGACTAATGATTGAGCTACCTCATTCTTCAACCCAGCACCATATGGATTGAACCACTTGTCACTCACAGTGTGTCGAAATGGAACTAATCATGTAAAAAATATATATATTCAACCTCTTTGATTGTTCACTTGAATGAATGTATAAAAGCAATCTGTTCATAATCTGGTTTGCCCTAATGGAAAAAGTTGGTAGTGCTACATGACCACATGCTTTACTATGATGTGTGTTTTCACAGCGTTTGGCTTCTTTACCTTCCTACACTTCACCACTACTTCATGTGGATGACTTGTGTTGATGTAAATCATGGATGGAGCCTGCAATGTTCATAAAAGTTATACTGGTTCAGCACCATTTACGTCCTGTGTGTCCAGTTTTCTCTGCTTTTAGTGTTTGGAACAGAACTTACCGTGAGAACTGCATGCATGTTCCACGCTCTACCAAGAGACATGATTGCCTGTGGAAGCCCATATTGTCCGTTTTCTTATTTGGCATCTGGTGCAGAGTGGATGACCTACTTAAAAAATATGGTCTTAATGAATTGTGAGATCTAACTTTAAAAATCTAATGCACAATACTGTTTCTAATACTAGCCCTCCTTAACAGCCATAAATATGTATTGTTGAAACATTGTACATATAGTTGGTTTTGTGCAGATTTGCTTCACACTAAGAAATGAAGGACACTTCAGAAGCAGGCTTCATACTCTACATCCAATACATGTTTAGAAACAGTTAAAGGTCTGACTTGATATTTTGATTACATTTCTAATTGGTGCTTCATTATTTGAATTTGAATGTACTACCCTTATTAGTTTCCTTTGTTTGACTCTGTGTGTGGTCTAACTGAGTGACTGGGTTAAAAAGCATGATGGTGTGTGTATACCTAGAGAAATTTGATCAGCAAACCTGTATCATTTAGACTTTAACATGTTTTCTGAAACATGATCAAATAATTTTTGTATGTGTAGCTTTTGCTTTGACATTGGATATTGGGGTGGTAATCATATGAACACTTGTTTGTAATTCAAAAATATCACACTGGAGCCATCTGTACCTAGGAAGTGTTTAGTGTGCATTGGACTTATCTTACACACACACACCACTCAATCCTGACTCAAAGTCCACCATCTTCCCCCTAGGATTCCATTTTCCACCCTTTTTGTTAATCTAATGTTGAACTTCATTTGTTTATTTAACAGTCTTGTTTGTGAATTTAATATAATGATAACAATCATAATAAATTCTCACAACTTCCTCTCGAATATGTGTGTGGTGTATTTTGTTCACAGTGGTCTTATTGACGGGACACAATACCGAATGTCGGCCATGCGCAGCAGGCAGCCGTCCTCTTGCCTCTGACCACAGAACGTCAGGTGTCCATTTTGTTCTATTTCCTGAAGATTCCATGTGTTGAATCGCTATTGTCGACACCCAGCAGATAAACTTTTGCGCACAGCCGACATTCCTTATGGTGTGTCCCGTCCTTTCCTCAACGCATCTCTACACACCACACTGACGGCAGACAGTAATGAGATTATACTATAAATGCTTTTAGAAGTCTTTATTGGGTCTATATTGCACCCACACAGTCACACCACAACTGTTGCAGCTGGCTGGCTGTGATATCTTTGGTTGGGGAGTTATCCTCTGGATTACTCTGCAAGATGAAATACACAAGATAAATATGTTTCAGTTATATGCCCTAAATACTCCAGAGCAGACCAACTTCAGCTGACTGGTTGAGTCTAGTGAGATTTTTGTTACAAATCAAAAATAATATTTTCTCTGAATTGTTAGCCACATGTTATGTGATAATATCACACCTTACCGGTATCTTCCATAAATTGTAATACTGACCTTGGGCCCTTGGTCCCGAGTGCGAACGCGGAGCTTGTTGACGTGGTCTTGGCCATCTCAGCCCTCTCCTCTGCATCGTCCAGCTCATGCTGGATCTTCCTGAACTTGGTCAGGTTGGAGTTGGCTTGTTCCCCTGAGGGGAGAGGACAGATGGACAGATCAGAGAGAGCAGGGAACTAGATCATACCACTGTAGGTCATTTGGAAACAGACCCACATTCCATGCAGTAACACAACAGTAAACTGGAAATGGTATGGGGACTTACTGCTTCCTCAGCCTGCCTCTTGTAGCTCTTCACCTTGGCCTGCAGCTTGTCTATGAGCTGCTGCAGACTTGCCAGGTTCTTCCTGTCCTCCTCTGTCTGCAGGGACAAACACAAACAGCAGGGGGCAGCATGAAGCACTACACCACTATATCATTACATCACTACAACACTACACCATTACACCACTACATCACTACAATACACCATTACACCACTACATAACTACAACACTACACCATTACACCACTACATAACTACAACAATACACCATTACACCACTACATAACTACAACACTACACCATTACACCACTACATCACTACACTACACCATTACACCACTACATAACTACAACACTACACCATTACACCACTACATCACTACAATACACCATTACACCACTACATAACTACAACACTACACCATTACACCACTACATAACTACAACACTACACCATTACACCACTACATCACTACACCATTACAACATCACTACATCACTACACCACTACACCATTACACCACTACAACATCACTACATCACTACACCACTACACCACCATATCATAGAAAAATAATATAATATTAATATGATCCATCATTAAGATGATCACTTGAACCTAATGAAGTGCGGGGCAAAATCATAACATTGGGGTAACTGTATGACACAGATCTCTTGCTACATTTCCCCCATGGTTATGAAGAAGGTGCTGTGTTTCAGTACCTGGTAGGTGAGCTCTTTGATTCTCCTCTCGTACTTGCAGACCCCCTTCTGGAACTCCTGCCTCTTCTTCTGCTCAGACTCCAGCTCATTCTCCAGCTCTGTCAATAGGACACTGTCACACCACTGATCTACACTCACTGTTCAGTAATGGTGAAGAGGTGAAGAACTCTAACCAAGTAAATTGCTGTGTCCTCTTCGGTTCGTAGGTGTAGTCATGTATCATTAGGTATACCATTGTCCTTATGAACATTTATACCATTAAACACATTTAATAAAAGAAACATGGTTTAACCATAAGGGCTAAATCACTATAGGAATACCCTGAGCATGCCTATTATGTCAACAATCTAGTGATTGGAAATTAATGCATGGTGTTACTTAGGAACAGATGGATTGCTCTCTGGACTCTTACCCTGCCCTCCAGTTTCTGGATCTGCTTCTTGCCGCCCTTGAGGGCGATCTGCTCGGCCTCGTCCAGGCGCATCTGCAGGTCCTTAATGGTCTGCTCCATGTTCTTCTTTATCCTTTCCAGGTGAGAGCTGGTGTCCAGCTCCTTTTTTAATAACTCCTCAGCCATCATGGCCGCCTGGATAATGACAGAGAGAAGAGTTTGATTTGTGGTATGGCTCCAGTTTTCCAATGTAGGATCGTTGTAATCTGCAATTAATTTAATTGAAACTCTAGACCCACAAGTAACTCTAGCCTGAATTTCTGGGTCTCTCCCTTACATCAGCGATGGCCTTCTTGGCCTTCTCCTCTGCGTTGCGACATTCATGAGAAGCCTCGTCCAAATCAGTGGACAGCATAGACAGGTCACTCTCCAGCTTCTTCTTCTGGTTGATGAGCGCTGTATTCTGGGAGTGTAGCAGGTGGACCCTCTCGGTGGACTCCAGCAGCTCGTGCTCGGCCAGTTTGCGTGTGCGGTCGTTCTGCTCCAGCAGGGCCTGGAGCTCCTCCACCTGCTCCTTCAGCTCCTCGTCCTGGTGCAGCATCTCATCCAGCTCCAGCTGCAGGTCCTGGGGTTACAGAGGACACAGACAGTGTTCAGTACAGAACGCTATTGACATAACCCAGCAGGCAAACAATCTGAAGTGTGGATGAGTCAAGTAGCTAACTTGAATTTGTTAATTAGTCTGAAGAGTTTGTTACAGTGTATACAAAGCACTGTAAAAACCAAACAAGAGGTACCTTGTCTGGACATTGTCACAGAGGCCATAAGTGAGTGTGGAGTTGTCAGACTGGCTGCTGAAGGACTTGCCTTGATCTGGACCTGTAGTTGGGGCAGTACTTTCTGGGACTCAGTGGACTGCCTGTTGACGTGGTTCAGCTGCACTTGCATCTCGTTCAGGTCCCCCTCCATCTTCTTCCTCAGATACCGGCTGGGGCGCGTGGGATGGGGAGAGGGAGGGTGAAACAGAGCAAAAAATGGGGAGAGTTAGAAAGGGGGGGGGACATTCCTTGACATTCCTTGCCTCTGATACTAAAAGGAGAGATAGCTACCAGAGCCTGTACAACCCTTGACATGTTTTCTAACTGCATGGTAATTGAACTCAAATCAAATCAAATCAAATGTTATTTGCCACATGCGCCTAATACAACAGGTGTAGACCTTACAGTGAAATGCTTTCTTACAAGCCCTTAATCAACAATGCAGTTTTAAGAACAATAAGTGAAGTAAAAAATAGATAAGTAAAAAAAATTTAAAAAAATAATTAAAGAGCAGCAGTAAAATAAAATAACAGTAGGGAGGCTATATACAGGGGGTACAGGTTAGTCGAGGTAATTGAGGTAATATGTACATGTGGGTAGAGTTAAAGTGACTATGCATAGATAATAAACAGAGAGTAGCAGCAGCGTAAAAGAGGGGATGGGGTGGGGGTGACAATGCAAATAGTCTGGGTAGCCATGATTAGCTGTTCAGGACTCTTATGTCTTGGGGGTAGAAGCTGTTAAGAAGCCTTTTGAACCTCACCAGAGGTTGTTGATTTCCCCGTCCTTCTCCACCAGCTTCCTGTCGATGTCGTCCTTGATCTGGTTGAGCTCCAGCTGGATACAGAGACTATTACTCTCCTCGTGTTCCAGAGTGCCCTGAGAGAGAGAGAGAGAGAGAGAGAGAGAGAGAGAGAGAGAGAGAGAGAGAGAGAGAGAGAGAGAGAGAGAGAGATAGAGAGATAGAGATCGAGAGAGAGAGCGAGAGATATAGGAGAGCAGTCGAGGAGAGAGAGTCTCATAACTCTCTCTCTAGTCTCTCTCCTCTCTCTCTCCTCTCTCTGTCTCTCTAGCTGAGTAGAGCTCCCCTCGGCTATCTCTCTAGAGGGAGCGGAAGAAGAGAAAGAGAAAGATCAGAATATTATCCAAAGAAAATACACACAATAGTTTCAGTACAGTTAAAGAGGCAGAGAGAAAGAGCAGAACAGAGACTTACCTTCATCTCCTCTAAGGCAGCCTGGATCTCACTCTTCTCCATGTCCAGACCCTTCTTGATCTTCTCCAGCTCATGGATGGTCTTCCCTCCCTGGCTGATTTGATCAGACAGGTCAGCAATCTCCTCTGTAGGTGGGGAGGAAGAGGACAGTGGGGTTAGTGCAGTCCTTCTCAAATAGTGGGGCGCGCCCCCCTGGGGGTGCTCGGAGCGATGCCAGGGGGGGCGCGTGTGACCCCGGGGAACATGCTTTTTTTTGCCGCAGGGAGTAGTTTTTTTTTGCACCGAACAAGAGCACACAGCACAGAGCAGGAGATATGAAGTGCAGATAACAAACCCTTAAGAGACACCATGGAAAAATATTTAACAGGGATGAAAAGAATGGCGGAGAGAGACGGAGATAATGAGACAAACGTAAGTCTCCCGAAAGCTAAGACGAGGAAATATGACGAAGCGTATGTAGTGCTTGGCTTCACTGTGACTACGGTGGGAGACAAGGAAAGACCGGTATGTTTACTGTGTCTAAAAATGTTGGCAGCGGACAGCATGAAGCCAAATAAATTAAGGCGTCACTTAAAGACATTACACCCCAATCACCAGACCACTAAAAACAAGAGTCTTCTCTGCTATCTGTGAGGAGATGGGAGCTGAACATCAAGCTGTGCTGTTTCACAGTGAAGCAAGGTGGCTGTCACGAGGAAAAGTCTTGTCCCGAGTCTTTGAGCTCAGAGAGCAGATAAGAATGTTTTCGGAGCAGGAGCACAAGTATGACCTCGCAGAAAAATTTAGTGATGAGAACTTCCTGGCAAAACTGGCCTACCTGAGTGACATATATGGAAAGCTAAATTAACTAAATCTACAGCTTCAAGGGAAAGATAAACACCTCCCTCAGGTCACAGACAAGATCAGCTCTTTCACTCGAAAGCTTGCAATGTGGGGCAGGCGACTTGATGAAGGAAATACTGATTCATTCGAGAACCTGCATGAATTTGTTGACACTACTGACTATGATGCCACCTCAGTGATTCCATATATTAAGGAGCATATTTCATCACTGATGGGATTCTTTAAAAAGTACTTCCCTGAAAACAGTTCCCAATATGACTGGGTGAGAGATCCTTTCAATGCACCAGCTCCAACTGGTTTCAGCTCTGCAGAGGAGGACCAGTTCATTGATATGACGTCTGACTCCACATTGAGACTGTGGTTCACATCACAGACACTGAGTGAATTCTGGCTGAGTGTAGAGAGGCAGTATCCACTCTTAGGGCAGAGGGCCATGGGCATTCTTCTTCCTTTTGCAACATCTTATCTTTGTGAGACTGGCTTCTCTGCTGTTGCTGCACTGATGACCAAGTACAGGTCCCAGCTAAACATTGAGCAGGAGCTGAGAGTTGCAGTATCATGCTTCAAACCCCGCTTCGAAAAGCTGTGCACTGCAAAACGTGCTCATTGTAGCCATTAATCCTGACTTCCTCATTTTGATTTTTTTTTAAATCAGCACATTGTTTTATTCATTTTTGTTTTATAGGTCAAAGTGTTTCATATATTGTGCTCCTGAGTTCATGTTGCTGATCAATTTGACTGTATTATTATTTATTGATTATATATTTTATTTTTCAGTATCAAATGGTCAAAAAATGTTTACAGTTTAAATAAGGATTTATTTATTTTTTTCAGGCAAATTGATGCACTTTAAGTATTTTCTGTTACAGACTAAAAAACAATGTTAATAAAGTTATTATTTGTTGTAAGTTGATCTATATTTCTTTCTTTTTTTAAATGTTAATAAGGATACAATGTTATGCAGAGGTGTACTTCTAACAATTTTATAGACAAATGATACTACAGTCGCGGCGGAGAGTTGGGGGGCGCGAAATGTTTACTTCTTCCTAGGGGGGGCGTAACAGAAAATAATTGAGAAGCACAGGGTTAGTGGAACAAAAAGGCCTTTCAGTTTGCGTTTCCATACCATGTAAGATTGATGTGAAATTCTCAACTAATGAACATTCATTGGAATATCTTTTATACTGACATACAGTATGGGGGGTTGAGGGGAGAAAGTACTAATTTGGCTACAATGTAATTCAATGGCTAAACTCATGTAGCATGGACCAATGACTATAGTCTGAGTTAATCAGATGTGTGAGGTGGTCGTACACTGAAGGTTCTTGTTCTCTCTCTTGGTGGTCTACAGGTGGTCCAGGGCCTCCTCGTAGGAGTTCTTCAGCTTGAACAGCTCAGTGCTCAGGTTGCGGGACTCCTTCTGAGAGCTCTCCAGCTCACACTGGCACTCCTCATACTTCTGCCTCCACTCAGCCAGCACCTGAAATCAGTAGTTCACCTCTTTAGTAATTATATTGCCGCTGCCTGGATTACATTTAGGTTCAAAACAACCTAAATTGCTATTTCTTCCAACGAGGTCATTCCAGTTGAGTTCCTTACTCAGAAACAGAATGTCATAAAGTTGACAGCGTATCTCAGTAGTTCACATTACCCATGATAGCGTCCTATGGCTCACCTTATCAAAGTTGCGCTGCTTCTTGTCAAGGGCGGAGGCTGCAGCATTGGAGCTCTCCAGGTCCATCACTAGGTCCTCTCTCTCCATCTGCAGACGGTGCTAGGTCTTCCCCAGGGAAGAGCACTTGGTGTTGGACACCTCCACAGACTCCTCAGGTTCCTGCAGACGTGTCACCAGCTTCTTCCTGTTGAATACATACAGTGCCTTCAGAAAGTATTCATACCCCTTGACTTATTCAACATTTTGTTGTGTTACAGTCAGTGGTGGAAAAAGTCCCCAATTGTCATACTTGAGTAAAAGTAAAGATACCTTAATAGAAAATGATTCAAGTAAGAGTGAATGTCACCCAGTAAAATACTACTTGAGTAAAAGTCTAAAAGTATTTGGTTTTAAATATACTTAAGTATCAAAAGTAAATGTATAAATCATTTCAAATTCCTTATATTAAGCAAACCAGACGGCACCATTTTCTTATTTTTTAAATTTACGGATAGCCAGGGGCTATCTCCAACACTCAGACATCATTTACAAACGAAGTGTGTGTGTTTAGTGAGTCTGCCAGATCAGAGGCAGTAGGGATGACCAGGGATGTTCTCTTGATAAGTGCGTGAATTGGACCATTTTCCTGTCCTGCTAAACATTAAAAATGTAACGAGTACTTTTGGGTGTCAGGGAAAATGTATGGAGTAAAAAGTACATTATTTTCTTTAGGAATGTAGTGAAGTAAAAGTAAAAGTTGTCAAAAATATAAATAGTAAAGTACAGATACCCCCAAAAAACTACTTAAGTAGTACTTTCAAGTATTTTTACTTACGTACTTTACACCACTGGTTACAGCCAGTGAATCTGAATCTGCAATAGGTAAGCAGCTTGGTTTGAAGAAATCAACTGTGGGAGCAATTATTAGGAAATGGAAGACATACAAGACCACTGATAATCTCCCTCGATCTGGGGCTCCACGCAAGATCTCACCCTGTGGGGTCAAAATGATCACAAGAACAGTGAGCAAAAATCCCAGAACCACACGGGGGGACCTAGTGAATGACCTGCAGAGAGCTGGGACCAAAGTAACAAAGCCTACCATCAGTAACACACTACGCCGCCAGGGACTCAAATCCTGCAGTGCCAGACGTGTCCCCCTGCTTAAGCCAGTACATGTCCAGGCCTGTCTGAAGATTGCTAGAGTGCATTTGGATGATCCAGAAGAGGATTGGGAGAATGTCATATGGTCAAATGAAACCAAAATAGAACTTTTTGGTAAAAACTCAACTCGTCGTGTTTGGAGGACAAAGAATGCTGAGTTGCATCCAAAGAACACCATACCTACTGTGAAGCATGGGGGTGGAAACATCATGCTTTGGGGCTGTTTTTCTGCAAAGGGACCAGGACGACTGAAGGAAAGAATGAATGGGGCCATGTATCGTGAGATTTTGAGTGAAAACCTCCTTCCATCAGCAAGGGCATTGAAGATGAAACGTGGCAGGGTCTTTCAGCATGACAATGATCCCAAACACACCGCCCGGGCAACGAAGGAGTGGCTTCGTAAGAAGCATTTCAAGGTCCTGGAGTGGCCTAGCCAGTCTCCAGATCTCAACCCCATAGAAAATCTTTGGAGGGAGTTGAAAGTCCGTGTTGCCCAGCGACAGCCCCAAAACATCACTGCTCTAGAGGAGATCTGCATGGAGGAATGGGCCAAAATACCAGCAACAGTGTGTGAAAACCTTGTGAAGACTTACTGAAAACGTTTGACCTGTGTCATTGCCAACAAAGGGTATATAACAAAGTATTGAGAAACTTTTGTTATTGACCAAATACTTATTTTCCACCATAATTTGCAAATAAATTCATAAAAAATCCTACAATGTGATTTTCTGGATTATTTTTTCTCATTTTGTCTGTCATAGTTGATGTGTACCTATGATGAAAATTACAGGCCTCTCTCGTCTTTTTAAGTGGGAGAACTTGCACAATTGGTGGCTGACTAAATACTTTGTTTCCCCACTGTAGCTACCAGACTGATGCTGGCACCAGGAATACTATCATTCCCAATCCTGAATAAGCACTCCACTACAGTATAGGGCTGCTGACATGGAATGCTGGCCTTAGAACTGACACAAACCTTATTCTCCTCCTCCAGTTGCTTCTTGAGCTCCTCAGCATTCTGTTTGAAGGAGTTCTTGGTACGCTGGAGCTGAGTGACCAGGGCTTCCCGCTCCTCCAGCTTTCTGCCGAACTCAGCTACAGGGGTGGGGGAGAGAGTGGGAGACCAGTCAGTCAGGGAAGGGGGATTTTAAATGGAACCCTTGGTTTTACACATTCTGTCTCTATAATGATCTAGGACAGGGCCTCACCACGGTCGGCCTGAGCGCGGGCTCTCTGGGTGTTGGTGTCATTGAGCTGCCTCTGGAGCTCCTCCACCTTGGCCTTGGCTTCGCTTCTCTGGTCCTGATACAGACAACACATTTTCTCAGCGTTAGCCTTGAAATACACATTTGATCAGCTGCAGAACCAGCCCACACATACTTTACATACTTCTGAACAGGTGTGTGCGTGTGTGCATGTGTGCATGTGTGTGCATGTGTGTGTATGTGTGTGTGTGTGTGTGTGTGTTCATGTTTATCTCTCTACCTTGCACTTGGAGAGCTGTTCCATGTTGGACGCCAGATTGTCCTCCTTCATATTTGCCTCGCTCCTCTCCTTCTCTATCTCCTGTTTGACATTCTGCAGGCTTTCGATCTGCTCCCCCAGCCTCGCTGTCGGCGTGTTTCTTCATCAGCGTGGCTGCTGTAGCCTCGTGGTGCAGCACGGCCACCTCCAGATCACGCCGCATCTTCAGGAATTCCGACTCGCGCTTCTTGTTCATCTCGATCTGGACGGAGGTGGTGCCCCCGGCCTCCTCCAGCCACTCCCTGAGCTCCTCCAGCTCCCGGGCCACGTCGCCCCACTGCTTCTCCACCTTGGCCCGGGACGCCCGGTCAGACTCCAGCTCCTCCTCTAGCTCCTCGATACGAGCCTGGGAGAAGACATGGGCATAGACGTAGAGATCAATGGATGTTTTTAGCTTGTGGTCTATGATCTTTGTAATGTATTGAGAAATGTAATTGTATTGTATTATATTCATGAGAAATCGCTGTCAGTATTTCTAGACCCAGTTGTCCATTCATACCTGTAATTCCTTGATCTTTTTCTGGAGCTGAATGGTCAAGGCTTGTTCATCCTCAATCTTAGTGCTGATCTGGTTGAAGTCTTTCCTGATTCGAAAGAAGAGTAGGTTACATTAATATTTTTTTATTGAACATTGACGATAGAACTGATCAGTCTTCAATCAAGTAGATTGTTCTCACTTGGTCAGCTTCTCTTCAAGTTGCTGCTAGTCATTCTCCAGGTCCATGACAGACTCCATGGATAGCTTCAGGTCCCCCTCCAGCTTGCACTTGACCCGTTCCAGGTCCATGAGCACCTTCTTCTTTTGCTCCAAAGAGCCTTCCTACTGTTTTGGAGAAGATTATGGGGAATGTCAAAGTTTAGGTGGCTGGACAAAATGTAAAACTAAGAAATCTAATAACAGGCAATATGATGTGGCAATGTATCGAAACAAAAATGACTTCCTCTTAATTTATATATATTTTCATTTCAGTGAGGTTGGATATGGGAGTTATAGTTGCTTGTGTGTAAACTCACGTCGTCCACTTGCTGTTCCAAAATGGCCTTGGCCTTGGACAGCGTGTTGACCTTGTCCTCCTCAGCCTGCAGGTCGTCCAGTGTCTGCTGGTGGGCCTCCTGCAGGGCCTTCTTTTCCTTTCATCCAGAGCTGCCATCTCCTCAATCAGGTTTTTCACCTGGAGGGACCTCAGCTATGCACATCTCATTCTCATCTCTACTTTTTTCAGACGTTTCAGTTGGGTGGAGTTTTGAGGCTGACCTGATTAATAAATTACATGAAGTCAGGGCCACTGTTGCAACTGTTTGTGTCATCTGAAATTAAGACGAATCTCTTCCGCTTTACAGGACAAGATGACTATGACATCATCACCCACTGACTGTGGTTCAGTGTCCTTTCCTTCTCTGTGACCCTCTGATCTCCTCACCTTGTTCTCGGTGGCGTGTTTCTCTTTCTCCACCTTGGCCAGGGTGATCTCCAGGTCATCAATGTTCTTCTTCAGCTCAGCACACGTCCTCTAGCTTGCGCATCTTGGCGAGCACGCCGGCGTTCATCTCCTCCTCGTCCTCCAGACCCTCCATCATCTCCTTGACCTTGGTCTCCAGCTGGATCTTAGCCTTGATCAGGAGGTCACAGTGGTCCTTTGCATCCACCAGGTTATCCTGCTCCTGCAGGGAGATGGGAAAGAGAGGGAGAGATGGGAGGTGACATTGGAGCCCTACTGGTACCATGCTGTAGGAGGTAGTAAATGCGTGCATCCCCGTCAGTCTGTGGGTACTTACTGCCTGCAGCTGCAGAGAGAGGTCATTCTTCTCTTGGATCAGGCTGACATGCTTCTCCTTGAGCTCTTTACGTTTGGCCTCTGACTTCTCCAGGGCCTCCTTCAGCCTGGCCAACTCCTCCTTCAGCCTGGCCATCTCCTTCTCTGTGGCGACACTCTTCAACAGAGGCTTTATTTTGAAGAAGAGCTTCATCCACGGCCAGTGCTTCACCGCGTTGAAAGCCTGGATGTTCCACTGGATGGTCATCAGAGCCTCCCTGGAAACAGGAAGTGAGTAGAGGACAGAATTAAAGGTTGCACATGAGTCGGATTAGGTCATTTACAAGCTGTGGTGAGTTTGTAACCAGAAATTTTTCCTTGGTCAAAAATAAAGTTTGAACAATAAACAGATACAGCCTTCAACCTGAAAAAAAAGCCCTATCATAATTGTGAGTTCCCTTATAATTCAAGCAGGAACACATTATGCAATCTGGCATCAATCATGAAAAAAGAGCTCTAAATGTTTCATGTGTTGGATCAACCAAAACCACAGGCTGAAGATTTCCAAAATAAGGATGGTGTCTCACACCTATAGATATGCAACTAGATACAATACATTTTTGCAACCTGGTCAGGCACTTCCTGTCAGAGTTGTGAATGTGTGCCTGAGTGAGTGCAGGGCCATGGTCAGGCAGGGTGTCAGGGGTAGCAGGGTGAATGGGTGGTGGCTGTGGAATGAGTATGATTGCATTTCAGACGTGACTCCGTGCTCACTGCACTCTCAAAGGTGAGGGTCTCTTGTGTTTATTTAGAAACTAAAGCCTTCTGTCAGACGGCAGGCTTTAATCCTCTGTCACCCACCACATATCCCATCTATGTGCTCACTTAGAACTGCAGGCGCCTGGGACAAAAGAGGCCAGGGGCCACGGGGCAGGCAGGGTCTTTATAGGGTGGGCCCGAGCAGCTGCTACTTGACACATGTCACCACCTGGCTCTAAGGACACAGTCAGCATTGTTTAATTTAGGGAGAGCATAGAGGGGAGAGGGGTAGGGAGGAATGTGTGTGAGCGAGGGGGGAATGGGGTCAATATTAACATGGGGGCCACACATTTGCACGGTAACCATACATGGACAAGCACACGCCTCACACGCGCTGCTAACATTGCCCTTGCATTCCACACATACTAGAACATGGGAGTGTGCACAAAGGTATAATATATCACAAACTGAAACGGTGCACCTGATCATATTACTATTGAGCCTGTTGGAGGAAGCAACTGGTGGAGAAGTTGGTTTGTTTTTACTGATGTCTTTATATTCCTATGAAGTGTTACGGAATTGTTCCATTATGTTGTCACAACACTCCTGCACTCCTAAGAGATAATACAGTACCTCCCTAATACTCTAGGACAACTGACTTCATTTAGGTACTTTACTAGAGCACTTGAGATTATCAAATCAAATGAAGCCATGATCTCTTACCTCCTGGCCATCACATTCTGGAGCTCTATCCTCAGCTGACAGCCTGGAGCAGCGTGAGGACCTTGGCCAGATGCTCATCCCTCATCTCCACCACCAGCCCCAGCAGACCTGCCCTAAATAACACCTAGAGGAGGAGAACACCCAGACCCAATCAGGAAGATCAAATACAACTTCATTTGCCTATAGATATAATGTGTGTTTACGTGATTAATTGACAAAACACACACGTGAAGCCTCAGCCTCCTACCTTGGTGTGTCCAAACTTGTACTGGTTGTGGTTTCTCTGTTGCTTTCCTGCTGTCCACAAACACATCATCAGGGATGGCATGTGGGTTCAGGATGCGATGGCTGTGTGTAAAATAAAAACGTTGTATTGTATATGCTTGATTGATTCCAAATGTATTTTTATGTGTGTGTTGTGGGAATGAAAGTGTGTTATCACACTCACCACTGTTTGAACTCTACGTAGATGATGCGGTTTGGAAATCCCTTCCTGCAGATCCCCTCCAGCACACCGTTACAGCGAAGCTGGTGCAGCACCATGAAGGCATCCATGATCCCTGCAGAGGACCGGGGGAGAGGGAGTTATCAATCAGAGAGGAGAAGACGCACTCTGGAGCACTTACAGTAAATAACATATGTTCCTACGATTTCCTTGGATCTCAGGTGAATGCTGTACCTGGAGTCTTGGTCTCGTTGGGGATAAGGCAAAGGACAAAGTGAGTGCAGCGGAGGTTAGTCATCAGCTTGTTCAGATTCTCCTGCAGACAGAGGAGCACACAACAGACGGAAAGAATGAAAACCTAAGTGAGCATTGACGATAGGAATGTTGTTCAATGTAGTTTCGATGATTACAACATCAGCAAATGAAGAGTTTCATTCCAAAACGCTATATAACCATTTTAAGAAACGTTTGTAAATTTGCTTTTATTATTTAAATAAGTTATTAAATAGATTTTTTCTAATCATGGCATGGGGTTGTTCAATGACAGACATGTATTTGTTTAAAATCTATCACTTGATGGTTTTGTTTCAGAGAGACAAATAATCATGTTTTTTAGCGACATGCTATATAGCCACCTCTCAGAAAAACCAGTAGTACTGCTAGGTGTTACACAGTCAAATGGAATAATTAACTATATTTTTAATAAAGAAATGTTCAAATGATACATAATTCAATACAGTAGTATGAGATCTGTACGTAAAACATTTACATTTGGCATTTTAGTCATTTAGCAGATGCTCTTGTCCAGAGCGACTTACAGTAAGTGCATGTATCTAGGTGAGACAACCACATATCACAGTCAAATATACAGGATACAAACATTCCATTCCAGCTAAACAATGGATATATAGCGTTTTGCAAAAAAACACATTTTCATACACATCTAAAATCTATTAATTAAAAGTCTGAGAAGAGGAATATTTTACAAACACATGAAGGTACCCATAAGCAATCATTTCTGATGAAAAAACACAAATGTGAAAGATTTGTGGATATAGCGTTTTCTAAATAAACTCGTCAATATCTGAGTTCTTGCAGCAGTTAATGAAAATATGCTCTCCCTCACTCCTTCAGTTGTTGTGCACAGCTGAAGCTCTTCCATTGACTTCAGGGAGGAAACCGTATGTGATGTATATGAGAGTGGAGCCAGCACAGACTTAAAGTGATGTTCATGTGATAATTTCCCTAAACATCACTGCAAGTCTTAACTGTCTCATTCTCAGCACTGGATACATGATCTCTCAATGTAGAATCAGCATCATTGCCTAACTAGCTATGCCCTTTCTGGTTGTTTATGCTGCAATAGTCTATGTGCCGGGGGGCTAGGGTCAGTCTGTTATATCTGGTGTAATTCTCCTGTCTAATCTGGTGTCCTATGTGAATTTAAGTATGCTCCTTCTAATTCTCTCTCTCTCTCTCTCTCTCTCTCTCTCTCTCTCTCTCTCTCTCTCTCTCTCTCTCTCTCTCTCTCGCTCTATCTCTCTCTCTCTCTCTCTCTCTCTCTCTCGCTCTCTCTCTCTCTCTCCCTCTCCTCCCGGAGGACCTGAGCCCTAGGATCAGGACTACCTGGCCTGATGACCTGGCCTGATGACTACCCGGCACAGCCAGAAGAGGACTGGCCACCCCTCAGAGCCTGGTTCCTCTCTAGGTTTATTCCTAGGTTCCTACCTTTCTAGGGAGTTTTTCCTAGCCACCGTGCTTCTACATCTGCATTGCTTGCTGTTTGGGGTTTTAGGCTGGGTTTCTGTATAGCACTTTGTGACATCTGCTGATGTAAAAAGCGCTTTATAAATGAATTTGATTGATTGATGATTATATTAGCTATATGATTTACTTTGTGAGCAACTTGCCAACAGATGAAGTTGTCCCTCTCACCTTCTGTAGCTGTGATACACTCTGGAACGAGGCAGCCTGCTTCCTCTTCTCCTTGCCTCCAGTCTTTGGGTCAGAGTCAACATAGTTCTCATAGAGGCAGGCCAGCAGCTTGTTGGAGGACTTCTGGAAGCACAACACCACCATCTTATTCAACGGGTCATTGTTTTTATCCAAGCAGCCAATGATGTTGTATGGTACCTGGAGTGTCAGGATGAAGTCAACCATTAACGTCTTAATGGTTTCTATTTTCATATACAGTGCAAGATAATTACTATGCACACTAAATTGAAAATAGGAGGACACATGGTTTTCTGGTATAGAAATGAGATACTCTGGGTAACACAACACTTGCAAACCCTGCTCTGCTTTTACTGAATATCACTGATATTGATGGATTTAGAAGCTCATGTGGCTAAAGGTTGCTCTAACTACTAACAAAAGAGTAATATTGAGAGTTGTGGGTGAAAAATGAAACTTTTTTTCCTTTTCTATCTTCTGTACTGTTTGTCTCCTTCTGCATTGCTTGCTGTTTGGGGTTTTAGGCTGGGTTTCTGTATAAGCACTTTGTGACATCTGATGATGTAAAAAGGGCTTTATAAATACATTGGATTTGATTTGATTGCTTTGTGCCAATTGTATTGTTATATTGCGAAAGGAAACAGTAAAAATTGAAAAAATATTATTACTTTGCTAAGACGTCATTATGGAGGTTATCTCAAATAACACTATCTAAAGTAATACAATATTATACCATTGTTACACACTTACCACTCAAGAGTAGTGCATCAGCTCAAAGTTAGCCTTGTACTTGAGCTTCTTATCGGGTCGCGGCTTCTGGAAGTTAGCTGACTTTCCAATGTGGTTGTCATACATCTTGGCTTTAAAGCTGTTGTCTGTCGCCTTCGGGAACATGCAGTCCTCTTCAAGGATGGACATAATCCCCAGGGGCTGGAGAAACAACTTAACATACATGTAGTGAATCTGAGATGCATCATGCAATCAAATACAGTACAGTACATAAAACAAAGCCTGCATACAGATACAGGATCCTATCATAAAACATATCAGCAAGCAAACACATCCTTAGGTTCAATAACTCATCTGAGGTGGGATGTCAGTGTAATGTCTTTGAGAAGTGGTAGTTCACCATACCTTCTCTATGAGGTCAATGCAAGCCTGTAGGTCGAGGCCGATGTCGATGAAGGTCCACTCAATGCCCTCCCGTTTGTACTTCTCCTGCTCCAGGATGAACATGTAATGATTGAAATACTGTTGCAGTTTCCCATTGGGGAAGTTGATGCACAGCTGCTCAAAGCTGTTGAGCTGAAATGAAAGGGACAGGTGTTCAGAATAAGCATATAAAGTGGAATAAAAGCCAGGCCAAAGTTTGGGCACACCTACTCATTCCAGGGTTTTTCTTTATTTGTACTATTTTCTACATTGTAGAATAATACTGAACACATCAAAACTATGAAATAACACATATGGAATCATGTAGTAACCAAAAAAGTGTTAAACAAATGAAAATATACCTGGAATGCACCTGGAATGCATTTAATATTAACAGGTGTGCCTTGTTAAAAGTTAATTTGTGGAATTCCTTTCCTTCTTAATGCATTTGAGCCAATCAGTTGTGTTGTGACAAGATAGGGGTGGTATCAGGGGCGGTGTGTTCATTAGGGCGATATGGGCGACGCACTGCCAAACGGGAAAAGGAAGGGATTTTTTTTCTAATCAATTATATCACGGCAACAGTAGTTATCAGTGTTCTAATCTAGACGTCTGATCTGCCACTAAATGTCCAATCAGGCTAAAGTCGTGCTTCAAATGGCCCCGCCCCTTTTGGGGCGATTTCAGTCAGGTTGAAAATCGCCCAGAAGTGTCTCATAGCCTCTCATGTAAAATCTTTTTTTTTCAAATATCAGAGCTTTCAATACAATCTCTATGGGTTTCTGAGGGCTTGCACTTACGCGCTTTCGTCATACGTAACATAACCATGAACGTAACTAAGAAAAGAGCGGGTAGCAGCGTCAATCAATTCACGTACTACTATCAAGATGGCTAGCGTTTAGTGCAACTCGATTGTCTCTTTGAAAGAAGTTCACATCAAAGACCATTCAAAACGAGCTACTGGAGTGTATGCTAGCGGTCATGAGGGAACATATTGTGGAGGAGGTGAAGTCGGCGAACTTCATAGCTATCCAAGCTGACGAGACCACGGACGTTTCTACACAGACACAGCTGGTGCTTGTGCTGAGGTACATAGATAGCAACCACAAAGTGCAGGAGCGCTTTTTTGAGTTCCTTCCCATCTCGGAATCAACCTCAGTCTCAATCGCCAGTGTGCTTTTGAAGAGACTGAACGGTCTTTTTGCCGATGACGAGAAAGTCAAACTGTGGTGCACTGGCACTGTACCAGGTTCTCATGAGCTACAACCTCCAGGAGACGTTCTCTGAGACTGTGACTCTGTTGAACATCCTCATAACTACTCCCATGACAACAGCTGAAGCTGAGAGATGTTTCTCAACTTTGACACGAGTTAAGACATTCCTGCGAAATTCAATGGGCCAGGAACGTCTGAATGCACTGGCCATGCTTTCCATGGAGAGGGAACTAGTCCTCAGCATGCCTGATTTCAATGAGAAAGTCATTGACCGCTTTGCTGCATTGAAAGAGAGAAGAGAACAGTTTCAGTACAAGTAATGTAGCCTCTCTCTCTCTTTGTCCCTCCCTGTCTGTCTCTTTAACACACACACGCCCAAATCAGTTCACAGTTGATGTTGTTTAAAATAGTTATTTTTCATTTTAAAAAAAGTAAAAAAATAAAATAATAATCTGTTCATGTTCATTTTTACAAATCTATACAATTGGCCAGAATATGGTTGTTCATATTTACAAATATATACAATTGGCCAGAATATGGTTGTTCATTTTTACAAAGCCATACAGATAGCTGTGTTTACCTTATCTATAAATTATTTTCAAATTCTGTTTTCAGGCAAAATGTCTATCACTGTTCATTTTCACAAATCTATACAAGAGGGCAGAATATGGAAGTCTATAAAAATTTCTTATTACCAATAACTTGCATCAATGTTTTCAGTAGCCTCTATCAAAAGCTCCTGCTTGCTTGTTGTGAATTATGCTCAGGTGCACATATTTCCAATTCAACCATGAGGCAAAAAATGTGGTAAAAGCTCTTGTTGATCCTGCAATCTGAACAAATACCAAGATGCTGTATTTTCAGCTGATATTTCATTTGTTTATGGAAATGCATATTGTTTATGCAGTGTTGAGGAATGTGAAAGAACACCCTTGATTATTTTTACTGTGATAACTTATTTTGCTTTTGTAAGCCAACACTTTTGAGATCAGTCAATGTATGTGGATGACTCAACACTATACAACATGTCAGCTACTACAGCGACTGAAATGACTGCAACACTTAACAAAGAGTTGCAGTTAGTTTCAGAGTGGGTGGCAAGGAATACGTTAGTCCTAAATATTTCTAAAACTAAAAGCATTGTATTTGGGACAAATCATTCACTAAACCCTAAACCTCAACTAAATCTTGTAATAAATAATGTGGAAATTGAGCAACTTGAGGTGACTAAACTGCTTGGAGTAACCCTGAATTGTAAACTGTCATGGTCAAAACATATTGATACAATAGTAGCTAAGATGGGGAGAAGTATGTCCATAATAAAGCGCTGCTCTACCTTCTTAACAGCACTATCAACAAGACAGGCCCTAGTTTTGACACACCTGAACTACTGTTCAGTCGTGTGGTCAGGTGCCACAAAAAAAGGACTTAGGAAAATTGCAATTGGCTCAGAACAGAGCAGCACGGCTGGCCCTTTGATGTACACAGAGAGCTAATATTAATAATATGCATGTCAATCTCTCCTGGCTCAAAGTGGAGGAGAGATTCACTTCAACACTACTTGTATTTATGAGAAGTGTTGACATGTTGAATGCACTGAGCTGTCTGTTGAACTACTGGTGCACAGCTCGGTCACCCATGCATACCCCACAAGACATGCCACCAGAGGTCTCTTCACAGTCCCCAAGTCCAGAACAGACTATGGGAGGCGCACAGTACTACATAGAGCCATGAGTACACAGAACTCTATTCCACATCAAGTAACTGACGCAAGTAGTAAAATTAGATTTAAAAAACATTAAAAACATCTTATGGAACAGCGGGGACTGTGAAGAAACACAAACATAGGCACAGACACGATAACATACGCACTATACACACACGTACACATGGATTTTGTATGTAATGGGGATCCATAATAAATACAAATACAAATGAGGAATGCTTTCACAACAGTCTTGAAGGAGTTCCCGCATATGCTGAGCACTTGTTGGCTGCTTTTCCTTCACTCTGTGGTCCAACTCATCCCAAACCATCTCATTGGGTTGAGGTTGGGTGATTGTGGAGGCCAGGTCATCTGATGCAGCACTCCATCACTCTCCTTCTTGGTCAAATAGCCCTTATACAGCCTGGAGGTGTGTTTTGGGTCATTGTCCTGTTGAAAAACTAATGAGCGCAAACCAGATGGGATGGCGTATTACTGCAGAATGCTGTGGTAGCCATGCTGGTTAAGTGTGCCTTGAATTCTAAATAAATTACAGACAGTGTCACCAGCAAAGCACCCCCACACCATCACACCTCCTCCTCCATGCTTCATGGTGGGAACCACACATGCAGAGATCATCACCTATTCTGCGTCTGACAAAGACACGGCGGTTGGAACCAGAAATCTCAAATTTGGACTCATCAGACCAAAGGACAGATTTCCACCGGTCTAATGTCCATTGCTCGTGTTTCTTGGCCCAAGCAAGTCTCTTCTTCTTATTGGTGTCCTTTAGTAGAGGTTTCTTTGCAGCAATTCGACCATGAAGGCCTGATTCACATAGTCTCCTCTGAAGAGTTGATGTTGAGGTGTGTCTGTTACTTGAACTCTGTGAAGCATTTATTTGGACTGCAATCTGAGGTACAGTTAACTCTAATGAACATATCCTCTGCAGCAGAGGTAACTCTGGGTCTTCCTTTCCTGTGGCGGTCCTCATGAGAGCCAGTTTCATCATAGCGCTTGATGGTTTTTGCGACTGCACTTGAAGAAACTTTCAAAGTTCTTGAGATTTTCCGGATTGACTAACATTCATGTCTTAAAGTAATGAAGGACTGTCGTTTCTCTTTGCTTATTTGAGCTGTTCTTGCCATAATATGGACTTGGTCTTTTACCAAATAGGGCGATCTTCTGTATACCACCCCTACCTTGTCACAACACAACTGATTGGCTCAAATGCATTAAGAAGGAAAGAAATTCCACAAATTAACTTTTAACAAGGCACACCTGTTAATTGAAATGCATTCCAGGTGACTACCTCATGAAGCTGGTTGAGAGAATGCCAAGAGTGTGCAAAGCTGTCATCAAGGCAAAGGGTGGTTACTTTGAAGAATCTCAAATATGAAATATATTTTCATTTGTTTAACACTTTTTTGGTTACTACATGATTCCATATGTGTTATTTCATAGTTTTGATGTGTTCACTATTATTCTACAATGTAGAAAATAGTAAAAAATAAAGAAAAACCCTGGAATGAGTAGGTGTTTTCAAACTTTTGACTGGTACTGTGGGAAGAACAAGTATTTGATACACTGCCGATTTTGCAGGTTTTCCTACTTACAAAGCATGTAGAGGTCTGTAATGTTTATCATAGGTACACTTCAACTGTGAGAGACGGAATCTAACAAAAATCCAGAAAATCACATTGTATGATTTTTAAGTAATTAATTTGCATTTTATTGCATGACATAAGTATTTGATACATCAGAAAACCAGAACTTAATATTTGGTACAGAAACCTTTGTTTGCAATTACAGAGATCATACGTTTCCTGTAGGTCTTGACCAGGTTTGCACACACAGCAGCAGGGATTTTGGCCCACTCCTCCATACAGACCTTCTCCAGATCTCGGGGCTGTCGCTGGGCAATACTGACTTTCAGCTCCCTCCAAAGATTTTCTATTGATTTCAGGTCTGGAGACTGGCTAGGCCACTCTAGGACCTTGAGATGCTTCTTACGGAGCCACTCCTTAGTTAAATAATAATAATAAGCCATTTAGCAGACACTTTTATCCAAAGCGACTTACAGTCATGCATGCATACATATTTTATTTTTTTGTGTATGGGTGGTCCTGGGGATCGAACCCACTACCTTGGCGTTACAAGCGCCGTGCTCTACCAGCTGAGCTACAGAGGACCACTAGTTGCCCTGGCTTTGTGTTTCGGGTCGTTGTTATGCTGGAAGACCCAGCCACAACCCATCTTCAATGCTCTTACTGAGGGAAGGAGGTTGTTGGCCAAGATCTCGCGATACATGGCCCCATCCATCCTCCCCTCAATACGGTGCAGTCGTCCTGTCCCCTTTGCAGAAAAGCATCCCCAAAGAATGATGTTTCCACCTCCATGCTTCACGGTTGGGATGGTGTTCTTAGGGTTGTACTCATCCCTCTATTTTTGTCTCATCAGACTACATGACCTTCTCTCATTCCTCCTCTGGATCATCCAGATGGTCATTGGCAAACTTCAGACGGGCCTGGACACGCGCTGGCTTGAGCAGGGGGACCTTGTGTGCGCTGCAGGATTTTAATCCATGACGGCGTAGTGTGTTACTAATGGTTTTCTTTGAGACTGTGGTCCCAGCTCTCTTCAGGTCATTGACCAGGTCCTGCCGTGTAGTTCTGGGCTGATCCCTCACCTTCCTCATGATCATTGATGCCCCACGAGGTGAGATCTCCTGAGAGCCCCAGACCGAGGGTGATTGACCGTCATCTTGAACTTCTTCCATTTTCTAATAATTGCGCCAACAGTTGTTGCCTTCTCACCAAGCTGCTTGCCTATTGTCCTGTAGCCCATCCCAGCCTTGTGCAGGTCTACAATTTTATCCCTGATGTCCTTACACAGCTCTCTGGTCTTGGCCATTGTGGAGAGGTTGGAGTCTGTTTGATTGAGTGTGTGGACAGGTGTCTTTTATACAGGTAACGAGTTCAAACAGGTGCAGTTAATACAGGTAATGAGTGGAGAACAGGAGGGCTTCTTAAAGAAAAACTAACAGGTCTGTGAGAGCCGGAATTCTTACTGGTTGGTAGGTTATCAAATACTTATGTCATGCAATAAAATGCAAATTAATTACTTAAAAATCATACAATGTGATTTTCTGGATTATTTTTTTAGATTCCGTCTCTCACAGTTGAAGTGTACCTATGATAAAAATTACAGACCTCTACATGCTTTGTAAGTAGGAAAACCTGCAAAATCGGCAGTGTAGCAAATACTTGTTCTCCCCACTGTATATTGTTTTGTATAGCAATGCTATAACAGTGGCTGTGTTTGGATGGCCTAGAATACTGTAAATTGCTCATACAGTGACAAGGCGAACGTCACAACGTAACTTACTGTTACTTCTGCTTTAGTAGTAGTAGTATGTGAAATACCAGCAAACTATAGAGTGTGTACTGTAACAGTAATTAGAGCATTGGCACAACTTTCATTGGGGACGGGGGTCACATGTCCCCCCCACATTCTGAAATTGTATTTTTGTCCCCCCAGTTTTATCATTGGAATGTGATACAAAACGAAGCAGCGGTGTGCTTTAGGACCATGAGGACACTTCCGAGCGGTTGGGTAGGCTGTTTGGAGTGTTTATCCGACTGGATATGGGCGGCGCACAATTGGCCCAGCGTCGTCCAGGGTAGGGGAGGGAATGGCCGGCAGGGATGTAGCTCAGTTGATAGAGCATGGCGTTTGCAATGCCAGGGTTGTGGGTTCAATTCCCACGGGGGGCCAGTATAAAAAAACATGTATTCACTAACTGTAAGTCGCTCTGGATAAGAGCGTCTGCTAAATAACTAAAAATGTAAAAATAAAATGGATAATATATATATATATATTTTTTTTAATGTCCCCCCCCACTACTAAAACCAAAGTTGCGCCCCTGAATTAGAGCACAGCTTTCTGACATGGATTTGGGTTTTTACTTACATGATGAGCATGGACTCATTCTCACGATCTGTTCAGTTATGTAGTCCCCTGTAGCTCAGTTGGTAGAGCATGGCGCTTGCAACGCCAGGGTTGTGGGTTCGTTTCCCATGGGGGGCCAGTATGAAAATGTATGCACTCACTAACTGTAAGTCGCTCTGGATAAGAGCATCTGCTAAATGACTAAAATATTTTTAAAAAATATGATAAAGAGTAAGCTGTTAGGAAAGGCTTGTGTAATAGTAGTAGTACTACGTCACAATTAATAAGGATTTTGGTAAAGCTTTACTTGAGTCACGTCATATTCCATTACTGTCTGGAGTTTGTGTGCACTGCCATGACTTCTAATGGAAAGCATCAGGTTTCTGATGACATGGAGGAGTGTGAGTATTATTTGTGCTGAGTGACTTACTACACAGCATGTCATTATAGGCGTAGTCTGCGATGGAGTAGATGTGGGGTGGGACCTTGGCGTGGCGCCTGCATTTGTAGGCAGTGACAACAGTGGCGGTGTAGACAGGCAGCCATTTGTATGGGTTCGCTGTCACACAGAACAGCTCAGAGTAGGTCTGTGGAGAGAGAGTTGAAGCATGCATTGCATTACACCTGGGCTATAGTTTCAATACCACTGACATAAAGTTGAATCAAGTTATTCCCCAAAAGACCCAACTGCTCAATAACAGAAGGATGGGGGCAGTCACTGACAGTCTCATTTCATATGACCTAAAAACGGACTGACATGTGGTTCTGGCTACTACAACTGTCCCACCCCTCCATTGCCCCTGTGGGATCACTCACGTAGATAATCCAGGCGGTGTAGCGCCTGCCAGGTTACAGAGCACAGAGGCCTTGTTGAGGAGTGTCAGCATGGCCATGTCCTCTATCATGTCAAATTTAAGATTATTAATTTGCTGGATGTCCTCCTCTTTCACTGTAAGAGACTGTCGAGTTTTGGAGAGGAAGGAGGAAGAGGCAATTGTGAGACTGGGGCATTGGGCAAGGGTGAAATGGGGAGGCCTGCATCTGTTGTCATATATATTCTGGGTATGTTGTCTTATCATATTCAGTCACTGCAAACTATATTCCATTTTATTCTTAAAAACGATTCATAATGATGTATCAAAATAAATGATTATATTGTATTTATTAGTAGTATTTTATTTTATCTATAAACACTTGCAAAGAAATGAAGGCTTGATGCATGGTAATATTTTCTGTGAGTCAACTGTAGTGTCAAATCCCTGAGCGGAGCACTCACCCTTCTATCTTTGGTCTCAACGATAACGTTGTCTCGGTCGAGCTCCTTGATCTCAACCTCAATGTAAGCCTCCTTTTCGTCTGGAACCCCATGCTCGCGTTTTACCATCAGACGCGATGGTTTGCGCAGCCAGCAACTCTAGGTCAGTTTTTCGTAGAAAAGGACCAGCCTCTCGGAACTCATTCGCGTCAATGCGGGACATGATGGCACTGGCAACTCCACACGCAGACGAAGCACCCGACGCACTGACAGGAGAGACTTCTCCTTTGTATTGTTTTGTTTCTTTTTTGCATCACATTTAAGTGAATTAAGCTCTTTCCTTATTCATAAAAAGTTTCGTTTGGACATATGTAGGAAATAAACATCAACAAACCAAAAGCGCACTCAAAGGAAAACATTTACAATTCGCGCATAATGTAGCGAGTATATCCGTTCTTGACAATATATTAAAAAGTTGTTTAAGCAGAACAGAAATATAAAGATACATATTTTAGCAAGAATAAATAAATTATTGTATTAAAAATGTAACATGAGAAACAACTACACATGGATATAGTACAGGTGCATAGTGATAAAAAAAACACAAAAAAACAGACGAGTTGGACGTTGTAAACAGACCTCAGTGTGCACACAACAGGAATACTATTATGAGAGGTTTGTTCGCGTTTTATTGTCTTTCTCAAGGTCACTGTCAGAGTAGATTCGTCCGTAATTAGCATATGCCACCTCCTCCATCTCCAATTGGTGGTGACCTCGTGTCTCAATTTACACAAAAGGAAAGCAACGTTTTTATATTTGCGCTAACTCAAGGGCTATTTTTATAGCTGTGTTATTTTATGTAGGGTACACACGGAGATGTGGTAGACAGAAATACAATATGATTGAGCATGCTTTTTAAAACTTTGGAGTCATTGTCAGCTGTGGAACAACTATCTACTTGACAACCATGCAGGATGACAATGCATAATTGCCATTAGCTAGACTGAAACACAATACATTTTTATTGATAATCCGTTTAAGGGGTATAAAAAGTGACCTTCAGTCCAGAGGAGCAGAGGAGGATATGGTGCCTTGTATGAGTGCAGAGAGTGTGGAGGGGGAGGGGAGGTGTTCAAAGTGTCCCAGAATAGATAAAGCCGGAGTCCAGCATTTCAGAATAAAAGATTCACTGTTGGAAATATCTATTGTTGAACAGGCATAGTAGCACACTTTCATGTTCCAGTGCTGTAGCCACAGCAGTACTGAAGAAGTTTCCGAAATGAGATTGGGATACATTTTTTATTTCCTCAGCTCAAGGCACAGTACAAACAGAGAGAATACACAAATTACAGGGTTAAAATGTTCTCATGTGTGAGGGTGCAAGGCTCCATGGTGACGATAGGAGAAAACAAAGTCCTACATGGAAATCTTGGTTTAAGAGGCAGCCATCTTTGTTGATGGCACTATCTCCTGCCGTGGGAAGGCGAGAGGTGTTGCATTGATGGCTTAAACATTTGGTATTGGAATTTGGTATTTTATTAGGATCCCCATTAGCTGTTGCAAAAGCAGCAGATACTCTTCCTGGGGTCCACACAAAACATGAAACATGACATAATACAGAACATTAATAGACAAGAACAGCTCAAGGAAACTTAACATTTTTTTAAAGGCACACGTAGCCTACATACAGTGGGGAAAAAAAGTATTTAGTCAGCCACCAATTGTGCAAGTTCTCCCACTTAAAAAGATGAGAGAGGCCTGTAATTTTCATCATAGGTACACGTCAACTATGACAGACAAATTGAGGAAAAAAAATCCAGAAAATCACATTGTAGGATTTTTAATGAATTTATTTGCAAATTATGGTGGAGGTAGGGGCTACCTCGGTGGAGAGTCCAAACCAGGTGCCCGCATTGCACGTTCCCCCTGAGTATGGGGATTTGGCTATTGTGTTCAGTAAGTCGAGGGCGACGCAGTTGCCTCCCCATAGGCAGGGAGATTGTGCGATAGACCTCCAGGCAGGAGCTGCGCTCCCACGGAGCCATATGTATCCTCTGTCTCAGGAGGAGAAGAGAGCTATGGAGACGTACATAGACGAATCTCTGAGACAAGGATACATACGGTCCTCCACTTCCCCTGCGTCCTCGAGTTTCTTTTTTGTGAAGAAAAAGGATGGAGGATTACGCCCGTGCATTGATTACCGTGGTCTCAATCAGATCACGGTGAAGTACAGTTATCCACTCCCGCTGATTGCGACCATGACGGAGTCATTGCACGGGGCGCGTTTCTTCACTAAATTAGATCTCAGGAGCGCGTACAACTTGGTGCGCATTAGGGGGGGGCGATGAATGGAAGACAGCCTTTAGTACCACCTCGGGCCATTACGAGTATCTTGTCATGCCATACGGGTTGATGAACGCTCCTTCAGTTTTCCAATCATTCGTGGATGAAATCTTCAGGGACATGCAGGGGCAGGGGGTGGTCGTGTACATCGATGACATTCTCGTGTACTCGCCTACCCGAGTCGAGCATGTGGCCCTGGTGCGCCGAGTGTTGCGGAGACTGTTGGAGCACGACCTGTATGTCAAGGCAGAGAAGTGTCTGTTCTTCCAGGAGTCGGTCTCCTTTTTGGGTTATCAGTTGTCTGCGTCAGGGGTGAAGATGGAGGTAGACCGGGTGTCAGCCGTGCGTAATTGGCAAACGCCAACTACTGTGAAGGAGGTGCAGCAGTTTTTGGGGTTTGCGAATTATTACCGGAGGTTTATCCGGGGTTTTGGACAGGTGGCAGCTCCCATAACGTCTCTTTTGAAGGGGGGTCCGGTGCGTCTGCAGTGGTCAGCCGAGGCGGACAGGGCGTTTGGGAGGCTGAAGGACCTGTTTACCTCGGCTCCGGTGCTGGCGCATCCGGATCCCTCTTTGCCATTTCAGGTAGAGGTGGACACGTCAGAGGCCGGTATAGGAGCCGTGCTGTCGCAACGGTCCGGCGCGCCAACTAAACTCCGCCCCTGTGCTTTTTATTCCAAGAAGCTCAGTCCGGCGGAGCGAAACTATGACGTGGGGGACAGGGAGCTGTTAGCCGTGGTACAGGCCCTAAAGGTGTGGAGGCACTGGCTTGAGGGGGCTCAACACCCTTTCCTCATTTTGACGGACCACCGTAACCTGGAGTACATCCGGGCAGCGAGGAGGCTGAACCCTCGCCAGGCGAGGTGGAATATGTTTTTGACCCGGTTCACATTTAAGATCACGTACATCCCTGGGTCACAGAACGGTAAGGCAGACGCACTGTCTCGGCGGTATGACACGGAGGAGAGGTCCGTGGAGCCCACTCCCATACTGCCGGAGTCTTGTCTGGTGGCACCGGTAGTGTGGGAGGTCGATGCTGAACTCGAGCGGGCGTTACGCACCGACCCTAGTCCACCTCAATGCCCGGAGGGTCGGAAGTACGTTCCGCTCGAGGTTCGGGATCGATTGATCTATTGGGCTCACACGTCACCCTCCTCTGGACACCCTGGTATCGGCCGGACAGTGCACTGTCTTAGTACCAAGTACTGGTGGCCCACGTTGGCGAGGGATGTGAGGGTTTATGTTTCCTCCTGCTCGGTGTGCGCCCAGTGTAAGGCGCCTAGACATCTGCCTAGGGGTAAGTTACTACCCCTGCCCGTTCCACAACAACCATGGTCTCACCTCTCGGTGGATTTCCTCACTGACCTTCCTCCTTCACAGGGGAATACCACTATACTGGTCGTTGTGGACCGGTTTTCTAAGGCCTGTCGTTTGCTCCCTATGCCGGGCCTTCCTACTGCCCTGCAAACCGCCGAAGCACTATTCACCCATGTGTTCCGGCACTACGGGGTACCCGAGGATATTGTGTCTGATCGAGGTCCCCAATTTACCTCCAGAGTCTGGAGAGCTTTTATGGAGCGGTTGGGGGTCTCGGTGAGCCTCACCTCGGGTTACCACCCGGAGAGTAATGGGCAGGTGGAACGCGTGAACCAGGATGTGGGTAGGTTTCTTAGAACATACTGCCAGGACCGGCCGGAGGAGTGGGCAAGGTACGTTCCCTGGGCCGAGATGGCCCAGAATTCCCTACGCCATTCCTCCACTAACCTAACCCCTTTTCAATGTGTGTTAGGTTACCAGCCGGTTCTGGCACCTTGGCAGCAGAGCCAGATCGAGGCTCCTGCGGTGGATGAGTGGGCACGGCGCTCGGAGGAGACATGGAACGCTGCACACGTCCACCTGCAGCGGGCCCTCCGACGTCATAAGGCGAGCGCCGATCTCCACCGCAGTGAGGGACCGGTGTACGCACCTGGTGATCGAGTCTGGCTCTCTACCAGAAACCTGCCCCTCCGCCTGCCCTGTCGGAAACTGTGTCGGCGGTTTGTAGGGCCATTTAAAGTCCTGAGAAGGTTGAACGAGGTGTGTTACAAATTACAACTACCTGTTGAGTATAAGAGTATTAACCCCTCGTTCCATGTGTCTCTTCTCAGGCCGGTGGTAGCTGGCCCACTCCAAGAAAGTGAAATCAGGGAGACTCCTCCGCCCCCATTGGACATCGAGGGGGCACCGGCGTACTCCGTGCGGTCCATCTTGGATTCGAGACGTCGGATGGGGGGTCTCCAATATCTGGTGGAGTGGGAGGGGTACGGCCCGGAGGAACGGTGCTGGGTGCCGAGGAGAGACATTTTGGACCCGTCTCTCCTGACGGAATTCCATCGTGGGCACCCGACGCACCCTGCTCCGCGTCCTCCTGGTCGTCCCCGAGGCCGGAGTCGGCGCACGTCTGGAGCCGCGCGTCAAGGGGGGGGTACTGTCACGGTTTCGGCCGAGGCTGCCTCTCTTCCTTGCTCGGGCAGGCTTCGGCGTTCGTCGTCTCCGGAATACTAGCTGCCACCGTTGCATGTTTCTATGTTCGTTTGCTTTTGTCTGATTGTTGTACACCTGTTATCGTTTAGTGTAATTAGTGTCCTATAAGTTCTCGTTGTGTTTGTCTAGTGTTGTGTGTGATTGTTTTACTGTCGTGCCGGTAGGCTGGATTTCTACTGTTTGCTCGGTTGAGCTATATCTCCATTGTTTGGAGTGTTTTTGTCGCACCTGTTAGTGCGCCCGTTATTTTCGCCTACGTGCGGAGTTTCGCCTCAGGGCGTTTGTTTGTGATTGTTTGTTCGTGTGCATCAACTAAAGTCTGTTGGACTAATGTTCTGCGTCCTGCACTTGATTCCA